AGTAACATTTAGTCTTTTTTTTCCTAAATTAGATCAAATTTTAAAATCTTAAATGGCCCCAATGCAAAATTCTAATAGTTAGTAAGCTACTCACACATTTGGGCCAGTGGCCACATTCTTGACAGTGAAACCAGAAGGTTAGCTGCCAAACCTTCTGGTTTCTTTTAGCACTTGTCGGAGGATGCGTCGGTGAAGTGAGACCATGGGAAACGTTTCATCCCGCTCGTGGGAACAGAAATCAAGTGAGAAAGTGCACACATTTTATTATGTATGAGACCAGCACTTTGCAGTACGTGATTATAAAGACACAAAGAAGTCTCCACGGTGTCCCCTCTGAAAAGCCTTTACCATATTTAATTGTAAATATAAACATATATATATATTTGTGTATATCATAATAAGACATCTAGCAAACGTTCAATAGGCTACAAGTAAGACAAAAGGAACCAAGTGGTTCAGTAATAACAGCGACGAGGAACAAATGGAAGGAGCCTTTTTTATGGATGTGATGAAGTGTGAGGTAACTCTTGCACCTGAGTGTCAAGTGTGCGAAGTCTTAGGTCAGCTCCAAGCCCCTCGTTTGGCGGACGCCGCACGCGCGCTCTCTTTTGAAATAAAAAACAGCTATCGAGGCCGGCACACGTTCCCAAACATGCCAGCTCCAGCTTATAGGAGTCTTCCAAACTCTCTTTTTGTCATTGGTGCTGCCACAGTCGAGTAGTTGCGATATTAGAAGTACACGGACCATTTCTTTGCTGACAAAGAGGGGTTTTCCCCGTCTCTCAAACACATTTTAAAAATTTATTTCAAAATGGGTCCACGTGACATAAACGCTTAACGCTCGCGCCACAACGCACTTATAAAAAAAAAACACGCGCACATGCTCGTTCAATTTATCCTGACAGAATAAAACAATTTCGGTAATTTTTCAAATAGGCTACATCATCATGATTACATGCATCAACCTAAAATAAAGGGAGTTTCCCTCCCCGCTGTCATGGTAACCAGCAATGATCTCTGGGCCTTCACTAATCGCCCCCTCTTTCATTTCAAACGGAAGTATCATTGCCTCTGAAAAGCCACTTAATCTCCGCAGGGTGTCCATGATCCGATCATCCCTGTGTTATCCCCAGTCTTTAGCCTATTATAGGGATCAGGACGGCCATAAATGCAGTGCACATGCAGAGTTCCCCTTAATTCAAACCCACTTAACTTTACTCTGCAGGTTCAGATAGCCTACGTGATTTGTAAAAAACAGAAAAAACATATAGTAGCTATCCATTTAAGAGTGGTTAGATTGCACATTATATGCATTCAGGCGTTATTTGGGCAATTTTGCGAGATGCAACACAAAGGGTGACCAGCATCATAGGTAAATACGAGGGTGTGTTGAAAGACAACACGAGTGTGATTTATTTCATTCCACAGCTCAAATGTGAAATTAGAAGAAGAAATATTAGTTAGTTCTATTGTTTTGTGCTTCTGCAAATGCATGTTTTGTTATTGTAAATTTAGTATAGATTCATTCAATCTGTTTTATAAGGAGTTATTATTCTAATGGTACGTTAGTGTCCAATAGGACACATTTTCCCGTTATTTTCGTAGCTCGAAGCCACGTGCTGCTGAATGGTGGTTCACCTTGCGCTGGGCGTGACCCTGCGTGATGACGTCAGGCGCTTTTTATGGAGAACACAAACACCGGACGCTCACCGTACAATTTGGATGCTCAAAAACGAGCAGGACAGCGAGGGAGTCGGTACCATGAAGGGTCTTTCTTCGCCTGAGTCTCCCAGAAAGAAGACCGTAAGAAGGGTAAGCCGTGTTCCCGATGAAAAAAAAAAACGTTCGGTGTGCTGTTTAAGGTATTCGGCAAAGTAAATTTAGCCTCCTTTTTCACCTCTCAGGTGTCCAAGCCTTTGATGGAGAAACGCAGGCGCGAGCGCATCAACCACAGCTTGGAAACTTTGAGACTTTTGATGCTGGAAAACACACACAATGAGGTACGTCTGTGCGTCGTTTTCTCAAATTCGTTCAAACTAGAAAATTTTATTTTTTAAATGAGGCGGATGTGATATCCACACGAAGAAGTCAATGTTGACAAATCGGTAAACTTTTTTTTAGCTAACAGTAGCACGATTAGCAGGCTTATAGTTGGCTTTCGTTTATATTTCTTTTTACTTACGCTGAAATTCTGAATAATGAGCATTCGAATTGTATATGCGTGCCTCCGACCTCAATTTGGATAGGCTATTCGTAATCTAGAAAAGCTTGGACTTGAGTCAGTTTCACAAACGACTATGCTTGAGTTGCTAATCCTCTGAAACAAGAACTCTGATTGTGGGTGCGGAGATGCTTCTTTTCAAATTTTGAGTGAATAATTTTTTTACTCTTCTGAATGTTTATTTTTTCAATCTTTTCCACATAGAAACTGAAGAATCCAAAAGTGGAGAAGGCAGAGATCCTGGAGAGTGTGGTTGAATTCCTGAAGACAGAGAAGGGTCATCAGACCGGGAGGTCAAGCTGCCCCCGCCAGCACAACTACCGTGAAGGCATGAGGTCCTGTCTGCTGAGGGTCAGCCAGTTCATAGCCACCAAAAGCCAGGAGATGGAGACCGCTGGCGATGCAGTCCAGGCTTCCTTTGCGCTTCCCAAGCCTCAGATGCTGCCCTCCTCTCCTGGGGAGGTCCACATGTCACCGACGGCTGTTGTTGACCCCTCTGCTCAGAGACGCCTCACGCAGCCTGCAGGCCTCCACGGGGACACAGGGAAGATGTTCTCCTCAGGAGACCCAACACACCTCACGGATCCAGTGTGGAGACCCTGGCCTCAGTGACATTGTATTTGACATGGCGTGTGTTAGCAACTGTAAATGTGTATTTCTAATGTACAGCAAGAATTTATTTGTACAGCGAACACGTTTCATGACACCCTTTGCATAGAAGAGCGTGTCGTGTCAATATGAAGTGAGACTTTTTCAGGTTTTCTGGGAATAATGTGGCCATGTATGCCTGCATATTGCAGTTTTTTTCCTTTTTTAATTTTTTTAATGATTATGTGGTGTTTCTAAATACCCAGATGTAAAGATATTTTCTCTGCTTGCTTTTTCCACAACAGCCGGTGGTGTATTTTTATCCCTTTCTGCTACCTACATACTTGCTGCTAAGACTTTTCCTTTTTTTCCCTCCAAAGATTGACTGGCTTATCTCCCTGTTTTTAATAAAAGCACAATTTCCTGACCATTCTAGATCCTCAGAGTGGCCTATTTGCTGTGCGAATGGCAGGTATTTGGATGAGTCACCGTTGCACTTGCAGAGAAAGGGGGCCCATCTGTGGGATACTTAGCACATACTCTATGCAGGCTGGACAACAGTTATGACACCTATTGAGATGCTGATAGGGGGTCTGAGACTTCTGATGTTCAGAGCAGTTTTTCACATGTAGAGTGGTAAATGATTGTTGCCATTTGCACTAGTTCAGACTGCAGACTACTTCAGGTCTGGCTGCATCCAATCTACAAAATGTGCCCAACAAGACTATACATGGTTAGTTTTAGCCAGCCTGAGCCACAAGAATGGAAAACGTGGATTTCATGTTAAGTGCATTTTATACTAAAAGTAATTGTAGAATTTGAGCATTGAGCCATTTCTAAAAGACCAACCCCTTAAACATACTCGTATCTAAAACATTTCTCATTTCTGGTTTTCAATTGAACCTGTTATTTATTCAGTAGTTCTTTAATTGGACATTTTTAGAACTTTAAGCATCTGAGTTTCTATAGGTCAGGTCAGCCAATGGTCACACTTGCTGGATGATATTCCCTTATTAAAATCATTCACACCTACATAGAGTTGGTCATTATTTAAATGTCTGGCCTGTTCAAATGAAAGACTCATGGAAATTTCATCTTGAAGGAGACTAAATGTTTCTTGGTTGTATTCAATTAGTGTCTTACGAGATTCGGATGAGAGCAGAAGCTATCTTTGCAACCAGACAGCGCTCAGTCCTGTCCCTTTTCCTAATACAAAACTCATATAAATAAAATCTCAACTGTGGCCTGAGTAGGAAACGTTCCTCTGTGTTTATTTCTCAGGATTGCATGAGATGTGACTTTGTTGGGATGTCTGCTCCAGGAAAACTGGTGGTTATCTTGAATGTTTTCCACCTGTGAGCAGTCTTTCTCTCTGTAAAATAATAAACACTGAAGATTTACTAAATGGCCTCAAAGCGCTTCACAAATCGAAAAACTGGAGTTTCGTTCTGACGTGTTCCTCCTTGGCACTATGTTAACACACACTTAAAAATGCTGATCAAACTTCTGCCTTCATATAAATGCTCCTTCATTTTTTGAATATAGCCTCGTAATAGGTTATTTTTATGTTAATCTCAAATCATATAACCCGATCTGGACGATATAATTCTTTAGTATGTTATTTATTTTTCATATGGCTTCATTCTGCCTCTTTTGGGTATTGAATATGGGCTCAAATGTTTAAAAGTCCATGTGCTGAATGACATCTGTAGAATGGACAGTGTCTCCTGTGACTTTACTTTAAAAATAGATTGATGCATGTACTGCCTGATAATCAGAATCAGAAATACTTTAATATTTCCAGAGGGATATTATTTAATAATTACTGTTATTCAAACTTTATGTCTTCAAATTCCACACAAAGCCATCCCATAGTTTCACTGAAAGTGGTCATTGATGGATTTATTGCCCTGGGGGTTTCTCCAAAGCAGTTCCATAACCTATTTTGAATCTTTTGAACACTTCCATTGTCAGTCCTGCATATGTATGTGGTGCTCCTGAGTGCCTAAAATATCGGAGTTCAAGCACATCAACCATAAAACACATCCTTCATAACACTACCTGGATGTTTTCATCTGGATGCATGAGCTCAACGTATATAGAAAATTCCCGCATGTCGTTGATCATCTTGATGCACTTTGGCGCATCCTCCAAATTCATGAATCGTTTCAGCGACGGGTTGAAAGCATCCCGCATCAAAGGAGGTGTTAGTCCCGCTGGGCTGACCTCAGAACAGGATGCTCTTTTGTGCTCTTTTAAGCTTTAACCCCACGATGAAAAGCCTACACAGGACTAAGTAAATCAATTAAAGGTAGAATCAGATTATAGTGGCATCTGGTAAAACGCAGATTAAAGTGGAAGCTTTATTTTAAGTGTGAAATAGCTACAGAATGAGGTTTGATTTCGTATGCGGGATCTTATATATATATATATATATACATACATAGAGAGATAGAGAGCTTTTTTTTGGTTTGTTAACCCAAGACATAAAAAAAAGAAACTTGGGGTATTTGGGATCCAGTGGGAAATATTTGAACGTGTAGACGGAGGCCTTCACGGGCTGTTCAGCGTCAGACCCATGAAAAAGTGTTACCTGTTCCCACGTTGGCGCGAACACAATGAATAGAGTGGCGGAGCGCCTTTTGGCCCCATTAATAAAGCAGCCTGCGTCGGTAGTTCCCACAACAAATCCCCATACACTTCCACACGCCAAAAGAAAAAACCGTCAACGCGTTGTTTCATGTCAAAGTTTGCATCGAGAAGAAGACGCTGGGAGTTTCTTCGAACCAGGCTCAGCTCCTGGGTGGTCTCTAGTCCCGGGTAGAGTGCCACGCTACTACAGTTTTTACGGTAACGTAAAAACGTACCAAACTTTTATTCATCCCTGATCATTTTTTTAATGGTCTGCACCAAAAGGCACAACCAATTGCCACGTGTCTACCACATTTACAACCCGACATTTGAACAACATTGCACCTTGGGGTGTTAATGGCTCTGGCTGCCACACGTGTCGTAAAGGAGCGCCCGTGGCCCCCGGCGGGTCTCCTTCGTCTGTCGGTGCGAAATGCGCACCTTTGTGTTTGTTCATGTTTGCGTTTTCTGTTAAAAGTATTTAAAATCTGGTGGGTTGAATTCTTTTGTGTGTGTGTGGTGAGGGAATCCATTGTATGGCAACTTGGGAACACCCTGGTAGGTGGACAACATCTGTTCCAGTGGGAACCCCACCCCCCCAATTAATGAAAAAGTTCAACAGACAGGAGTGTGCTAGCAGACGTATGTTGGATGAATTTTTACCTTAACTGTCAAATTAAATCTTAGGCAAAACTTTTCCAACAATAAGGGCAAAATAAAGACTAGCATTCATGAAAAACATGTTTATTAATAACAAGAAAGAAGTCACATATGAACACTGGACAATAAAGGTGAGATACAACCAGATTTTTCCTCATCATTTTTCCGTCACATCTTTTCATCTGCCTCTATTGTGTGCAAGCATGTGTGTGGTGTGTGGTGTTTGGTGTGTGTGTGTGTGTGTGGGGAGAATCAGGCGGCATGTTCAGTTTTCAGCGAGCCAGTCCCTGAGCTTTCTGGAACTCCTGCTGTAAACTGGAAAGGACCTCTCTGTGCTTTTCGGATTTCTTCTCCATCTCTTTCAGGAGGGATTCATACCTCTGACTGCATCGGGACAAAAGAAGGAGAGTTTTAAAAAAGTGATGAAAATAAGGATGAAGATGAGCAACACACTCAATGCACAAATTCAGAGATGGGATGAACATCAACAGTGGAATAAACTTTTTGGCCACCATGTGACCCAATTGGTATGAACTTGAGCTCAGAGTAAAGGACTATTTGTTTTAACAAAACATTTGGCATTTTTTTCCCCTTTTAAAACTTCAAATTTTGTTTTGGGAATTCTTTATCAAACTGGTCTTCGCAGTGCCCTCCTGCTGTCTTATCACGCTTTCATATGACGCTGAAAGGAAGGGAAGAGGTGGTGTCTGCATTTCCCGCACCTAAACCACCAAACTGGTAGGGCCTAGTCAATACAGGGTCATATAAACCTTACACTGCTCCTATATAAAGTGGGCCACTACCCCTTGGTCAAACCTTTCTCACCCCCTCATTTGTCCTTACACCTTTGCTGTGGGAACCTTCACTGACTTGTATAAATGCGAATTACTAGGTCCAAATCCTAGTTAATTTGTTACGGTTGACTTTTGCCTAATTGTGTTTCCTCCCTCATTTCTTTTCAAACATCTGGTTTGGAGCTTGAAAAATTCAGCTTAGGCAACTGGACGTGGAAGTTTTCCAGAACACGTTTCACCTCTTTTCCGAGAAGTTTCTTCTGTTCTGTTCTCTCCTGATGCCTCTTGGATGAGAGGTGAAACGTCTTCTAGAAAATTACACGTCCAGTTATTTAAATTTAACTTTTTAAGCTTGACCATGACCTGGATGAATGAGAATCTTCACATATTTGGTTTTGAGCATAAATGAATGAATACAATTCTGAAACTGATTTGAAATTAATTTCCTTTCCACTGAAATAAAGATTGCTTGAGCTTAAGGTCTTCCTCTTTCCAAGATACTTTCCCAACAGGCTGGAATTCATTCAAACCATTACACGTCACCTTCAGTTTGCATTAGTCAAGTAATGTTGTTGTGTGTGTTGTGGGGGGTCATTAAAACAGACAGAAGCCCTCAAATGCAATCTTTAGTGTGGAACAACTTCATCTTGGTAGCTAAGGATGACAGGAATATTATATTTCAACAAAGTGTAGACTTAATTTGAGTGGATTTTTCTGCAGGTAGGATAAGGAAATATTGGGATGAGATATGGCTCTGTCCAACTTGTTGCAAAACACAGAGCTGAACTCTTTTTAATTGTCAAAAAGCTCGCTTAAATTATAAATGGGTTTCCTAAAATCTGTTTTGTATCCCTAATACACACACGGTTTCATGACACAAACATAAAGTAAACTGTCACAAATAACAGAGTCTCAGTAAGGATTTTAGGCATTCTTCTTGTGAATATAATTAGACATTTGAATTATCTAACTAGGTTAAACAAAATAAATCAGTACCGAACAGTGAAAAGCACTTTGTCTTACATTTCCCCGTTGATATACTCCAGTCTTTTCGCCACTGTGGCTTTAGCCTCATCCACGTCTTGCTTCACCAACACAGGACCTATAAGCTTATAAACCATGTTGGAGCTGTCCAGCATGTCGAGCTCCTGGAAAAAGAATCCACGTTTGTGTTAAACAAAACAAACAAAGCACTGCATACTCTGTTATGAGAGAAGGAAAAGTGCTGGCATAGAAGGAAAGACGACCAGTTACCTCTTTGACGATGTTGTTTTCTGTCAGCTGCGTCTCCAGCTTCTGTCTGGCTGACATGCTCTTGCTAACATCTAAACAACACAGTAATTAGCAAGTGAGCATATTTTTATGTAACTGTATTTATTTGTAATACTTTAGGGACATTATTGTTGTGGGGGGGAAAACATTAAAATGACATTCAAATCAAATTAACTGAGCGATCATTAAATTCCGTTTTTTCCAAATTTGGTTAGTTAGCTCGACACAACATGGCACCTGAGGAGAACCTTTACGAAGCTATTAAGGACCCACCTTTCTGCATCTGTGCGTACTTCTCCACTTCTGCTTTCAATTTCTTTTGAATTGCTTCTGCCATATTTGTGTTTTTTTTTTTTACTACAAAGCACTGTAAGATCAGTTATCTAAGGGCAAACGAGCTACAACATGAGAGCTTCGTGTTAGCCAGCTAATCGGAAGAAGCAGCACAGAAAACGGATGTTGTGTTAGATTTGCAGACAAAACATACTCGGAGATTTTGGTCTCTCTCAGATAAAAAACGAGAAAATGATATCGCCAGTGGGACAATCGATTCAACAAATGATCCGAGGTTTTGAAAAATTCGAAGCTTTCACAAAATAAATAATTTATCGGTGTTCTATAATGATAGCTGGTGCAGTTAGTTAGTATAAAAATCCTTATGTTTCAGGCCCGTTAAAACGGTGGACTTTGTGATTTCCGAGGTTCTCGAACGCAACGTTAGCCCATCCTTTCAAAGTGACAGATATCTCAGAGCGTTATATATTCGTGAGAAATTAGTGCACAGAGAAACTAATAAAACAATTGAGTTCACAACAGGGTGTTTAAATCAGTGAGTAATTGAATGAAAAACAACGTCGTCACTTCTACACAGTTGCTGCTGAGTTTTGACGCAGTCGCAGTTGCGGCACTTTACGACATTGCATTGCGACGCCTCACACGGCTTCTCTGCGCTCTGGTTCGAGATGGCTTCGTCGTTTTGGAAAGGTGTTGTCGGTATTGGACTTTTTGCCTTAGCCCATGCAGCTTTCTCGGCGGCACAACGTGAGTTTCGGGGCAAACAGTGAAGACACGCATGCGAATATGTGAATTTAATCCGGACAGTCTGTGTTTTCGCCGGCCATACTGATAAAACAGCAGGTCGGGCCTCTCCGTCCAGCACGGAAGCTAACAAGATGCTACAGCAGCTTAGCTCCGCTTTGAATGAGTCTCGGCGGCGAAAGACTTAAATATTCGCAAGTGTCTATTATATTTACTTTTAGTGTCACTAATACAGCAGGACAATTTCATAACAACGCACTGAACAGTAATAATTAATTATTAAGCCGATATTTACTAGTTGCTTGCAGTGTAATTTGGTGTCTCTTGCTTTAACTAAATATGAACTCTTCCCATTAGATCGATCGTACATGCGGCTCACAGAGAAGGAGCACGAAACGCTACCGATTGACGTGAGTAATCGCCCGTGTCTCTGTTCCCTGTTTTTGCAACACTCGTCATCTGATGGTCCTTTTTCTGGATCACCACCTTTCTTCTCCCTCCGTTACAGATTGTATTGCAGACCTTATTGTCGTTTGTGATGACCTGCTATGGTATTGTCCATATTGCTGGAGAGTTCAAAGACATGGACGCGTCTTCAGAGCTGAAAAACAAGTGGGTATTTTCACCGGGGCAGCCGCATCCCTCCCTTGGTACTGTAGCTGCTGGTGCCCTCCGTCACAGGGGAGGCGTACAGCTCTACACCTGAACTGCTTTAAAACCAATTCCACTCTGGATCTATTCCCTCTGACACCTGAACTCCTCATGATGGTGATATTTATGACCCATAACGGTGTCCACACGGCTTTAACTCCCTCACCAAGCCATCTGCACATTTGATCATCAAAAAATAACATTAAAAACCTAAACCATCACTTTTGAAAAACTATTACATTTTCTTATTCAATACCGCGAGAAAAATATTGTGTTAAATGTCTTTACATTCAACACTTGGGTTTGGATCAGTTCTCCTTCCTCATTCCTGGGAGTGGAGGAATCCTCTAGACCTTTTACCATTAATACTCAACTGTACTTCACTTGGATCTGTTTAGGTGGTTTTTCCATGACAAGTGAGTTCTGAACAGAAATAACCTTTTTGATTCAGGCATTGATTCATTGATTGTTTGGCCAAAAATGCAGTAAACAAAGCCATATGATGATACTACATCTATAAGTACTACTTAATCCTTTAGACAGAAGAATTTGGTTGTTCTGTTTAGATTGGAAAGATTGATTTTATATCTTGATGTAGAAAACAAATTACTTTGCCTTTCCTTTGAAATCAGATATACCTAAAAAAAGTTCTTACCCATATCTTGCAGAAGGGTTTATTAAGGATTTGTTGGTGTTACAGATTACCAATTTGTTTCCTGCTCACCCATTCTTTCCTCTCCCCTAGAACATTTGACACACTGAGGAACCACCCATCCTTTTACCTTTTCAATCACCGAGGTCGAGTGCTGTTCCGCACACCGGAGGAGGAGCCCTGCTCTGTACGTAACCAGCAGGCTCTTCCCAACCCCATACGGCTACGCAAGCTGGAGCACTTGCACTGAGACTGGCCTTTCCTGCCCGTAATGTGGCCATCAGTCAGCTAGTTTGTTTTTTGTTAGACTGAGGGCGGGAACTAAGAATTCATCTTCCTTCCACTTTGATTTTTATTTGTAAATAAACTAATATGCTGTCCAGACACACATCTCTGTCCATCAAGTGGTTTCCACCATGTTCAGCATCGACTGTGCCAACCCTTCATCTTTTCTTGAGCAGATTAGTTTGTAAAAACAAAACAAAAAAAGTGTAAATGCTTCAGAGTCTTAAACTATGGAGACGTTTGCCCCTGTCATCCCTTCCGAACCGAGCTGGGATGTTGCTGTCCTTTGTATGTCTTTTGTATGAAGGGGTATAACAGAACCTGCTTTGTTACCATTTCATTTCAGCCGCACATCACGGTCAGCAGCAGCCGTTCAGACAAAATGGCAAGCAGTGGGTTTTTACTGTATGATCCGTATGATTTCCTGGATGCGGAGCAGCTCTGTACGTCCTGGTTGACAGAAAATGTTTGGTTTTCATGCCCCAAGCGTAGAAGTGTGTGCGGGAAACATTATATTGCCATTGTGGTGATAATGTGGGCACCAGAAATAGAAAGGAATGGTACATTAAGCTGGGCAAGTTTAGTTTTTCCTCCATTTTGCATTTTTGTTAAGATTTAACAGATTTGTTTTTAATTTAATAAAAGTCATACTGATTTTACACCGTGTTTGCATCTTTATCCCCCCCCCCCTCCCCCCCTCTATTTTAGGTCGTAATAAGCTGATTACAGGCAAGATTTCTTTCAACTCCAATTTAAACTGAAATGCTGATGTTTCATTGGCAAGGCCATTCTCTTTAGGAGGAAGAAAAAAGGAGATGTTTGTATTTGTTCCTTTTGCCCAAATCAGTGTAAAGACTAGATGTTCCGTGACCTTGATGCAGGGCTGCTGCATCAAATGAACTCGCCTGCATGTGCTTATTTTGGACTCTAGGTGGCGATGCAGACTGAATCAGTGGCTTCAAAGCTCCACGTGCTCCCTTTTCAAAGCTCACTTCAAAATATATATGAATATAATTTAAAAAAATTAAAAACATTGCGACACAAACGAGCCGATCCATTCTAACTCTTTTATTTAAAAAAATCTTAGTAAATCTTTTCACTTTGTGTAACAGTTACAAAAAAAGACATGGCTTTGGAAATTTCTTCCAAAATATTTCTTAAACTCTGACATAAACTCACAAAAATAATCTATATCCCTATGAACATTAAAAATAGTGTACACGTGCTGTAAAAGCAAGGAGAACAAAAAAGGGGAGTGTGGACTCGGGACTATGCAGAGGACAGATGATCAACTGTTACGACGAGGCAGCTGAACCCGCTGGGAGTTCTGTTGTAATGGTTTAACTGGAGTTAGAGAGTGAGAGTGTGTGTGTGCCAGATCGAATAAACAGAGACCGCACTGTTAATATAAAACAGGAGGATCCTCAGTTAATATACTGTTGTGTTTCCAGCTCCCAAAATACTGATGCGGACATCAAAATTATCTTTAAAATAGGTAGTTTGTTTGCAGAATGTGTCCAATTGGTGACAGAGATTACTATTTTAGACATTTAAAAGTCTGAAAAATGACTATATATTATGGCATGTTAAAGTGAACCTTTTATCACTGAAAGATGGCAAACAAGATCGGGCGTTATGTGCTATGAGATATTCGTATTTTTCTGTACCACATATTCAGTGGTAAATATACCTTTAATGTGGCAGTACTGCAATTCCAATGAATGTGAAAAATCATATTAATGTGACCGGATTAATGACTGGATTGGCCAGAAATAAAAATGTCTGACGGGACATTTTCTGCCATGTCTGACGTGAATTCCCTGAAAAAGGAATCTGTATTGCACACCCCTAATGCCGTTGAATGTCAACATCAACTTTTAAAATGAGTCCGATGTTTGATAAAAGTCATAAAATGGCCGACACCAAAAAAAAAAAAAGTACAAAAATAAATTCATTCTTTTACAGATATATGCTGGCTTGACAAGATTTCTCGGGCCAGCTATAAATCTACATATATGTGCAACCTTTTGTTTCACATAAAATTAAATAAAAAGAAAAACGCTTCTCAGACCAGCTGAATAAAGGTCTGTTTTCAGTGAGCAAAAGCTTGCTCTTGCTGATGTGAAGATCTGCCAGCTTATCATGTCATCCATACAGACAAAAGCCATATGGGTGTTTAAGGCATCTGTCAATATGAAGAGGATTATTTCCCAAATCTCTTTACTCTGCCCTTCAGTCAGACCCTCTGCCTCTGACCCCATGCATCATAAAGATGCAGGGACGGTGCGATCTTCAGCCGTCGGAGCGTCTGGCCGCTGCTGTGTCTGGTTCCTCGGTTTGTTGTTTGTGAGGCTGCTCGTAAAGAGATATGCCTTCAAGGAAAGGGGCCTCCCCCCGTTTCTTTATCTGGTGACTACCTGCCGTGATCGTTGAAAAGCTGCAAGTCTGTTTCCTGCTTCTCCTCCAACTCGGTGAGCGTGCTCTCCAGCTGTTGGATCAGTACCCGCTTTTTGAACCTGTCAAAGGAGGTAACAATTTATTGACAAAAAAACAAAACCCCATTAAACTATGTCCCTCAAGTTCACACTCAATATTGGCACTTTGATCATGGGATGGGACCGACTGACACGATGCCAAGCAGATGTGTTTTAGCGATTACTGATATACTAAAAAAATACATTGGCAAGTCTTCTTTTTGCTTGAATCAATCTGAAAAATGGCTAGCTGTTTATTACCTGGCAGCTTCTTTGATAGCGTGTTGGATGAAGTATCTCTGTACATTTACTGGTCCTTTCACCTGCTGCAGTAGACTCAGTATTGCCTTGTAGTCTGAGACAGAGACAAACCACACAAACAGAAACATTTTCCCCATGTGAAGACTCTCATCAGATTGAGGGAACAAAAACAAAACCAAACACAGGATTTTATGAAAGGAGCTGTGACAGTCTGGCCCTGGACATGGACTCACTTCGTCCGGGTTTGCGGACCTCCTTAATTACTCGGCTGCGGAGCTCCGCCTGGCTGCCCTCCAGCGGGGCGATGAATACGGTCTCAAGGAACGCGGCGTCGGTCTCGGAACCGTCCAGATCACTTTGTGGACTTAGAGGCTCGCAGCTGTGTTTCTCATCAAGCATCGGATCTTCCAGAGGATCCGCTGCCAGCCTGTCCTCCGCTGTGCCCACATCCTCCGCCTGATCTGCCGCTCCCCCCGAGGCCTTCTCCTCCAAGTTTAGCGACGGCGGACTCGCCGTCTGCGATTCCACCTCGGCGGGCCAGATCTCTCCAGAGTCCAGCCCCAGAACGCCGTCGCCGTTGCTTTCGGTGACGACAACAGCGCTGCCGTCCCCTCCTGTTTGATTGACAATAAGTCACCGTTGGGTTTGCTGTTGCCCCGACATGCATCTGTTCTAATTAGATCGCGACGCGATGCTTAACCTTTTTGCAGCGGGCTGGGCTTGAGGGGACTCTGCTGGCCCGGAGCTCCAGCCGGGCCTTTCCCTGCGACGTGGTTGGCGTTCCCCGGCGGGGTTTGCGTCCGACGCAGCAACGGCGACATGCTCCGCCTCCGTTTCACGGTGGCGCTCGAGTTGGAATCGCCGCAGTTGCCCCTCTTCTTGTTTTGGGGGCCCGCCACAAACTCGTCCGCCTCATCGATCATCATACCCTGGGGACACAAAGAAAGACGTCTGCCGTGACAACACCGCATGCGGATTTACACAAATCCAATCAGTGGTTTGGTTCATTGACTCATTACCTTCTTGTCTTGTTTGAATGGATTCCCAAATGTGTGCAGTCGTTTCGGTTGATCGGGATCGATCTCTCTTAAGGGAGATGGCATCATTTTGAGGTACTCCTGATAGTTTCCCATCTGTGCCACTGGAATACTGTGTAGGTAGTCTGTGAAATAATTAAAAATGGCATTACTGGGTTTGTTTGATATTTCCGATAATTATCCTGTGAGCACATAAGAGTGGATCCAAGCCATCAATCTCCGTTCTACTTGTCACTGTTGTAAACTATCAACAAAAGCTCATACCTTCATCTTGCCCTCGGATCAGTTTTAAAGACCTCCGCAGCAGGTTGGAGCGCATCCGCGTGAGTTGATCTAGAAGGTTTCGTCTTGGGATGTCATAGGCATTCCGGTAAGCTTGAGGTTTTACGTCCTGTCGGCACATTTTTATGGTCAGTGGGAACCAGTGAAAAACTCCACATGTGGCTATTCACCTGACAAAGGACAGAATGTACGCCAGCCATGGGGACCATTTCATTTCATCGGGACCGTTTGTCTTGATAGTACCTTGTTGAGGAGAGCGATCTGGAAGCCTGCAAACTCTTTGAAGTTGATGTCCAACAGGCGAATGGGCCCCTCCCCGGTGATTCCCTGCAGCAGCTGCTTGAAGTCGGGCCGATAGGCCAGAGAGAGGGAGCTGGAGTGGTTCTTTACTTTTATGCCAGTTTCTTGAGGTGCCTTCTTCCCCACAGACACAATCAGACGGTCTGACTCCATTTTTGCCTTCAATGAAACATAAAAATAAAGAATAAACATTTTTTTTTATTGGTATCAGTTTAATGACCTTCTTAGCACTAAAATAAGATAAAAACTATTCCTCTTGAACAGCATTTTCTGGTAATCTCCTGTACATATGGGGACCTCAAAATATTTTTGAGAGGATCAAAACCAACACCTGCGCATTTTGTTCAGCTTGGAGCAAAATAGACTTTTAGAGGAAGAAACTGAGATCAACTGAAACATTAGTTCACCTCTGGGACAGGACATGCTAACCATGTGTTCATGAGAGCTGTGCAATTTCACAATGTTCATAACTTAGGGCAGAATGTCCCTGTGCAGATTTGAACTGTGGACAATTCAACATTGTCAACACTTTTTCTCCCATTTCTATAATAAAGGAAAAACGGTTAGGCTTTTGTTTTTGCCTACTGAACCCTAAAAAAGGAAATGAAAATCTGAGCTAATGTGACTCTGTAGATCAGCTCCCCATTGGTGAGAGCAGAGGCCGCTGCTCATTTAAGAACGACCCAGAAACCAAAGTCTATTTACATGTTCATTGTTTGAGGGATTTATTCTCGTCTCCTTTTTTATGCTTGCTTCCCTTTACTTTCTGACTAAAATAATAGTGCTTGACCTCTTAACTGAAAACATCCACAAAACATGCCTGTGTCTGACTTGTTCAGTTTAATCAAGGGCACGACAAATGAGTACCGGTAGTTGTGACTCTACTCGCTGATTAGTCTGATCTAATTTTGTATGATATCCGAACAATAAAGAACTTATGAAGTTCCGTGATTCCATAAGATCTGGAAATGTACCTACAAATCACACACGACCCTTTCTTCGACTTTATTTTTGTATCACACGTGGTGCTTTCCCTTTATTCTTATCATATAAAAAAGTGTCTGAGCAGAACTCACCTGCTGGCTGAGCTTCTTCAGGTAGGAAATGACACTGTAACTCAGGCCACAGTCCATGGTGTCTGCAATCAGGTTGGGAGCTCCCATCATCCTCAGTGCCTTTTTTAAGGGCTGTTCGGACATAACGTGAAATTTTGGTAAATCAATCAATTGGGAATAGACAAACACTTCAGGATAAAAGCACAGGAGTGTTTATTTACCAGGAGGTAGTACGGAGGCATGATCTTCAGGTACATCTCAAAGGACTGTCGCCACTTGAGGTTTGGTTTCAGCTTGTGCACTTTAAACAAATCATCTGAAAGGAAAGAGAGGCAGTCGGGCAGGTTTTAGTGTTCTGGATCCATCCAGGATACTGAAACCTTTTCTCTAGTCTATAGCAACACTACCTTTACTTGTCTGTACCTCTATATGTTACTGTGTAGGCTGCCTCACCCTGCCCCCTTTGCTCTCTCTGTCCCTCTCTCTCTCTTGCCGTCTCTCTCTCAACCCCAACCAGCCATGGTTCTGCTCAGGGTTTGTGCTTCTTAAAAGGAAGTTTTTCCTTGCCTGTGTCGCCTAGTGCTTGCTCTTGGTGGGAATTGTCGGGCTTCTGTAAATAACTACAGAGTACGGTCTGACCTGCTCTGTTGTGAAAGTGGTGTGAGATAACTGTTGTTGTGATTGGGCGCTATATAAATGCAATTTAATTGAATTGAATTGGATCAGGGACCGGCCGTCAAACTGCAGCTCCATTTACTGTAGACCTGACCGTCGCTCGCCTTACGACACACTACATCATTAGTATTATTATTATTATCAAGATAAATCCAAACAGCAGCAAAGCAAGTTTCAAAATGGTCAACACCAAGCTGCACTCACAATAAACCTGGTATTCATCACAAAGAGTTCAAAGACAGGTGTGACACGAAGTTTGTTACCGAGGAGTGGGAGGACGACTGGGTAGTTGTAAGGCATGACAAACAGGTTAACACAGGTGAGGGTGGTGCTTGCTTTCAGGTAGCCAAATGGATGCCCGTGGTCACTTTGCTTCCCGCTGCTGTTGACGAACACCTGAGAGAAAAGAGGGGAAATGAACATGAGTAGTTAACACGAGCTTCAACTTATACAACATGATGTTTTACCAACTTGCCAAAATGCGAGAAGAACAAAGGGAGAACACAGCCGAGAGTGATTTGTTTCCATACCTGCCAGCACATGTGAGGAGACTTCCTCTCTAAAATGTACTGGGTGAGTGGAGATGGCTCCAGTTCGTACTTGTCGAAGGGAAGCTTGTCAATTACCATGGGCTCGCAGTCCACACAGAAGAAGCGCACCACAGGATGAGCGGAGCGAGGCGGCTGGAAAAGAAAGATCGGGACGGACGTCAGTTTGTCACTGGCCCAGATCCGTCTGATGTCAAGCAATGACAGCTATGCAATGAAGATTAACCGGTAACTAAAACGTAATGATTTCCAGTCAATAAAACACAGAGGCAGACCAAAAGACAGAGCAGAGGAGAAAGATTGGCTGAAGAAAAACAAACAAACACGTCATTCCACCTTCCTGTCAAAGTCAAATCGAAGCATTGATCCAGCTTTGGAGGCGGTAACCTGCAGACAGGCAGAAAATGCCGGTCTTTGCGAATGTTGTCTCTGCTCACCAGCGTTGGAGAATTCTGGTCCGGCCAGAAGGACTCGGGTATGGGCCAATGGCCCACTGGCACCCCGGTTTTCGGGTTTGGTCGCACGTATATTAGCTTGTGGCAACTGTGCCAGGGCTGTGGGCTGAAGGATGACACGGGGCGACTGGACTCTACACAGTTATCTGCAAAACACAACAGGGTGTCATATGGATCGAGGACTGGAGCCTCCCCCAGCAGCCAGGTGGGGGAACCCGGGAAAAATTGTAACGGAATTATGCACAAGTCAAATCAAACTATTTTACTTGTAACATTTAGACCCAGTTTTCTTTTTATAGCAAAAAATTTTGCGTGCAAAATCTGAGTATTGCTTTTACTGGTTTGAGAATCCAGTGTGTCTTTGTCGTAACTAACTTTAACTCATTAAATGCGTTTCTGTGAGCCCTCTGGCTTCCCTGTGACCTCACCTTCCCCTGTGAGAGGCGGATCTGGGCCTGTCTTTTCAAAATTGATGACAACGCCACTTTGAACCTTCTGCACCAGGGACTCCAGACACTGGTTCAACATCCTCTGCGTCCGCACGCAATACGATCGCCCTGAGAGGGTCAGACAGAAGAAAATGAACCCCGAAATCACAGTTGCACGGCCAGTGCGGGGAGCCTGGGATTGGGGAAAAAAAGGCCGCACCTCCGGTGACTTCGCACATCTGGGTGATGGACGACTCGTCGGTCGGGACGCTCCCGAGCTGCTCGTTGTCCGGCGCGGCCGCTCCCGGCAGCCTCAGCACCAGCGCGAACAGACGCTGGTCCCAGCGGAAAGGCTCTTTGGTCAGCTCGCTGCCAGCCAAAGGCGAGTTCAGGGGCAGGTGCAGCTGCACGACAGGTGATGAAAGAGAGAGAGAGAGAGCGGTTAAGAGTCGAACCTAGAACGGTCTTTACGGGACAGATGCTTGATCCTGCCCTTACCTCCTCGGGCACCCCTGAGCTGTGTGTGAGCTTGTTCCCATCGGTGATAGTAATGATCACGGATGGCTCGAGAAAGAACGGGTTACGGCCCTGAGGAGGCAACATTCAGCAGTTAAACTTGGGAAAACAGGGAAGTCATGCACTCTTACTGCTCTGTCATGCTTTTTTTTTAACGGCCCCGAACAACTGCTCTGCTTGACGAAGTTTCCCTATCATCTAAAACACGAGACACACTCATCTCTGGTTCTTAAACAAGTGTCAAAATTCCTGTGCAGCAACTAGTGTGGATTTACCGCCGCGCCCCTGATAACCCACTCACGCTGCCGCTTAGTATTTGCTCTGTGTCAGATTGCCTGCGTAAGCTGCCCAATGTCCTTGTGCTACGAGTTGAGGGCCGCGCCGTAGAGGTCGGCCTCGTCTAATTCAAACACATAGGGAATGCCTAAGTAGATTTGCACGCTCCTGATGCACAGAAGTCGTCCAGCTAAGGTAATCCATTGCTTGCCTTAGAAGAGGGGGGATTTGGAGAAAAGACGGGGGAAGAAAATGTTGCAGTAATTTGGGTCAAGCTGGGTGGCTTTATATTAGGAGAAAATATATATTTAAATATACAGTCAGTCTCATTCGGCTTAACTGACAATGGGTGTTTATCACTTTTTATTACTTTGGGGCCACAGCTCCAAATGTGCCGCACATCAGATTTTCATCCAAGTCTTTAATTCCAGTCAGATATTCCTTTATATATCAGGTCACTGAGCTTTCTTTTTACTTTCTGTTAAGGACAAGTAGCAACGTTAACAGACGGCTATCAAACCTGTCCGTAGTTGTCAATTCCGGAGACAAGGCGGTTGAGGTTAAGCAGGTCAAAGGCCGTGCGAAGGGCGTGGCCTAACGTGGTCAGCCCAGATGCCTGTAGGTTCTTCAGCTCGCACATGAAGGTGGCGTGGTTCTCCTTCCAGCCCGCCTGAAAAACAGCGGAGCGCATGGAGAGGGTGAGGAAGGCTCTGTGCGGCCAACAGGACGCCTGGTGTTTCAGCGGAGCAGAGCGAGCGGCCACAACACCAAAATGAATGCCCATTCACACACACAAACGCCATTACATAACGTAATATGTAAAAACCAAAACATAGTAAACTCAAACTGAATCACCGAGGCGGATAGCTGTCCCGAGAAGAAGCCTTCGTGACACAAACCGCCATTCTTTTATCAACTTGTGTGAAGTTCAAGAAATGGATCATATCTCTGAAATGCTCAAAGATCAAATCTCCTTTTCAAACACTACAAGAATCCAGAATGCAGCTTCCTCTGCTGCTTATGCTCTGTGAGAGACGTGTACTCCCGTGGCAGAGGATAGAACTGGGCTACTACACTGAGAACCTTCTCCAGCGGGGTGAAGCACGTTAGCTCGATGCTTAATCTACAGATGACCTGCAAGCTCACTTCTTCCTTCGCAAGGAGAAGGAAGAGGCTTCCACCAAAGAGAGCCGCAAACCCAAATGGAACAAAAATTTGCTCTACTTCTGCTTATTGGCTTCCATGATTTGTATTAGGCAGATTTCTGGACCACCATGATTTTGTGCTTTAGCTTCTAACGAGTCCAGATTAATTGTTTTAGACTATTATCAAGAGATTAGACAGTAAATCTCACTGAGCTGCTGAAAACTGAAGGTGGAGGCACTTTCACAGTGGTAGCCACACAGAAACAAACTACGTCCCAACACCTTCATAGCAGAAATGTCTAATGTCTTAGCTTGCATTCGCTAATTCAGATTCCATAAACCTTTATTTTTTCTTACCTAAGCTTCTCTTTCTCTACCTCTGCATCCACAACAGCAGCGATTTCACCTGCCTGCCGGCGCCCATTTAAAAGGCTTTATTGGTCAATACCAATGACAGACGCACTGGCTCATTCGTTGGTTAGATTGTTGCTGTCTTATTTCCTAGAGAAAGACTCAAAATGAAGATCTTTATTTAACAGCTCAATGTAGTGGCCATGTCCCATGATACACTTCTCCTCACTCTGCTCTCTCTTGTCTCCATGAACATGACAAACCGTTGTTGTCAGGTCTGTTGTCATTTCCCTTTCTCGGCAGGTGCGAAAGGGACTCAGACTGGCTTTAATTGGACTGTATATTTGTGGACCAGAGGAATAACGTTACAGAATCCTGAACCAAAAAAGTTGCCCAACCTCTGGCTCTTCAAGAAACAAAGCATTCTAATGTTCTTGTTTTGGCAATTGACAAACAAGCTTTTCGAGATGGAGCCACTTCAAAGGGCTTTTTTTCTAATTTGATTTCCAACATGTCTTTAATTGCTTTGAGACTGTTTGCAAAAGCTTAATTATCATCTCGTTTTTGCTTCTCCTTGGAGATTCCTGCAACAACTTTCCTCCAATAGCCCACCATCCATGACCGCTTCTCTTTAGTCCACTCCTCCTGCACTAATAAACCTTTACGTTGTTTCAATGAGAAGCTGTCTTGAATTCTGTGAAAAAAAGAATTTGCTTTCCAATTGCTCCACTTTGTTCCCAAATATCCTGCATTCTTATTCTTAGAAGATGCTTACAAATCAAAACATCGTCAGCTTCCTTTGTTCCATGCTTGACAGTTCTCACATGTGTGTGGGCATAGAAGGGAATCTCAAAAGAAAAGTTTTCATCAACCCAACTTGAAGACATGCAGTTTTTTAGACGGCTCACTGAAGTGATGTATTGAGAAAAAATGTGTCATTACAAAGACGTTTTAGCATATGTATAACATATGCTCCTTTTTTTCAGCTCCAACAATTTTTCTATAATTTTTTTAGTAAATGAAAAGAGCAGAGAATGCCTCATATTAGTATACTGCACTGAAAGTAGCAAGCTGCGTTGTGTGACAACTTAGTTCAGTCTATAGAGACACAGAGCTGCAGCTGATGTTTTCCAGAGACTTCAAGAGGTTTGTGTTGGCACTGAGGATTATGTTTTATTGGGCGTGAGAGGCTCAGGGAAAGATATGGTCCAGGTCATGAGACAAGTCAATAGATTAGTGATGAGCACATCTTTGATGACATGAATCCCAAAACGGTGTTACATTTTCCGTGTGCTTGAAATTTGTTGTGTTCCTGTGCTTGATAGTTACGCTCCTATTATCAGCATGAAACATATTTACCACATGAATAACTCTAATTCTGTTCTTGCGAACTCGTACAAACATTAAAAGGAAAAGAAAGTCTTATGATGAGAGGGTTTATCAACTTTCATCCAAGACTGGCCAATCGTATTGCGACGTTGAGAAATTGGGCGGGGTTGGGGATGATTGGCGGCCCCTTTGACCACTGTAAGCTTTGGGTCGATTAAAAAGAACGAGTGACGTCACGGCCGACAATAAATCTCCCCGCCTCCATCTCGACGCCCGAGACTTTTCTCAACACAAAAGCAAAATGTCCGCTGGATGTTCGGAGGCAGTGCGGCTCCGGGTCTGCGGTTTTTTTTTTTCGGAGCAATAGTTTGCCTTTTTTTCGCCACCGGGAAGCCGCCCAGCACCGACTAAGAACCAGAGGGACAATACAGTCTCACTTACAGAGTAACACGTTCGACCTGTCAAATGTAAAAATTGTATCATTTGCTGATTACCTTCACTCCGTATGGTGGCTCATCAAATGTAACTAGCATGTACCTGTCGCCTCTACTAGCCGGGTCTCGGGCACGCAGCTGTCAAAAAAAAAAAAAAAGAAAACCAAAAACAGCATTTATCAATTTCGAGCGATCTTGCCCAAGGAACCCTAAGCTCATCAAAGGTGCATCCTTGCTGAAAAAAATCGGGGTAAAATCATTCTTTACCTTCATAAAGACCTCAACCGCGCCTTTAGCAACGTCCAGATACGTCGTACCCAAATAAGTGCGCTGATTCATAGAGGCGGACGTGTCTAACAGGAAAAGTAAAATAGGCATTTTAAATGTAAAACCGCGGTGGTTGGATTTTCTAAAATAACAGTTTCCCACATATGACCTATCGTGCGGCCAAACAATTCACACGTGTGTGTGTATATATATTTTTGTTATAAGTCCCCCCCCCATCCAGAAGAGGGCTGCTGCCTCTGCCCTCTCTGAATCTGCCTTTCCAAAGCTCTGTCTGCTCGCGCTGTTCAACTTCTGCTCCTCACAGAAGGGAACACCCATTTTCCTCCACTGCGACACCATTGGTCGAGCCCCAGTCCACCGACCACGCCCCCAACGTATATGATATGATATAGAGGCCGAAAAGCCTTATAAACATTTACTTTGACTTACTTTTTTTGCTATGTGTGAGGTTAAGATTGAGATTTACAGGGGGATTTACTGTGCCAATACTTAATTTCGATCTAATCAATCATCCTGTTTTAAAATTAAAACCTGTTGGACATGGATGGGGATCATAATCCGAACTGACACCGCTCATGAATTCCTCCATTCCTGCTCTCCTTCCCACAAGCAGCAGATCCTTACTCCTGCCCCTGATGTTGCGTTCGGGGACCCTGTAAAATGCTTGTTCATTTCGCTGGCTCTAAAACACAACAACAGCACATGTTGTGTTCTGACATGACCCACTCCAGTAAAAATAGATTCGTTTATTTTTAAGAAATGTCCTGTTTTTTACAATGAGGAATCAAATAAATCAAAAATAATTTGATCTTATCAAGCCTATAGTATGGGAAATATCACAATCTTGTGATAAAACACCTCAAAAAGTAGCTCGTGCACTCAGTGTGAAACATTATTGGCAAAATATCATGCTTTTAACACATTTGAGAATTTAATAGTTAACTCAAATATTCTTCAATACAGAAATATATTTAGCTTTTAACAATAAATCAAGTTAGACACTCTTTTAATGCTGTCCAGATGACTTATAAACACGTTACTCCGTTTGCTCGGGGAACATCTGACGTCCTTACGTAGTCTGTTGCTCTCCGTCTTCCCAGCATGCACTACGACGCCTGCAGTGTAATTATTCACAAAGAAAAGAGGCTGAAGAGAAACATCAGGGTGGGATCGGACGCTGAGAACCTCGTTAGGCTGTTACGTTTTCCCGAACCCGCGTGCTGACAGCAAGGTAAATTCTCGTCCCCAGCTTGTTTTGAAACATTACATTACTTGCTAGCCCGTTTGGAATGACACATCGTGTAGACAATTATGACAGGCTAAAATCTGGGGTACCCCTAGCCGGCTAATGCTAGCCACCACTGGATGTTTTCTTACTGTGTCAGAGAAAGAAAACAGTGAACACTTGGTATGTTAAACGGGGTCTAGCTGTTATTGTTGTGAATATATACATTTTAATATGTATATATAAGGGGTTTAAAAACGTAAATGATTGCGTATATTCACGTTTTGTTCAAATCGACTCTATTTTGACACTGTAAACAAACCGGTCAACAAATTGATGTAGATGATACTGTCAAATTCCCCGTATATCGAGCGGCCAACCTTAAAGTTCTGCTGCTAGTGTCGTGGAGTACCATAACAAAGAACGTTGCGACACGACATGTCTCACTCCTCGAGCTCTAACCCACGTAACCATGTAAACAGAGAGGCACGTGACCAGCTGCACGAACTCAGTTTGTTTCAACGAACGTATTCAAACTCTGAAGTCGGTTTCAGGAAATAAGCAACATGTCATGTTGGTATCGTCCCTTAAGCAGAGATACTCCTGCACTAAAGGCAAAAGACTCGTACAAAACAGACGTTTAGGTTGTTGATAACTTTAATAACGTCTCTTTTTTTTAAGACTGTTGTCATTAATGAAAAAAGCATAATTTGTCAACCCTAAAATACGATAAAAGACTTTTCAAACTTACAAACTTCAAACTGACACTGCCAAAAACAAGTATTTTTTCCCCTTTTTAAAAACTTTTGCTGCTTCATAGCACTTTTCAGTTTTTGAGATGATGCATATATTTATACATATCCATCCATCCATTATCGTTACCACTTATTCCCTAATGGGGTCGGCCTATCCCAGTGGTCAATTGGCAAGAAGCAGAGTACACCCTGGACGGTCCACAAGTCCATCGCAGGGCTATTTATACATATATTATTAATATTAAGATATGGAACAAACAGAAAAAAACAATAATCGTTGCAAATATCATTGCATTTCTAATGTTTACTGTAGCCAGATCAGGTGGATATTGCACATGTAAACATCAGCTTGTAACACAAAACAGGAATGTCTGAATGTTGGCATCTAGGTTTAGAATTTTTGGAATGATACTTAATTCCTTCCATCAGTAAAGGAATTTATTTGGGTAAGTTTTCTTTCTCAAATCTAAATCTAGAATATGCATCATATGCTCTTCGTCAATCTTCTTTTGTAGTTAATGGGTAAAGGCTGAATAAACAAAAATTCCCCGGGGATAATGGATTTCTGTAGTTAAGTGTCACAAGCATATACGCCACTGTCATGTATTAGCTTGTTTTGTTTTTTTTCCCTCACAGGATCATGTCCTGGCCTTAAGGAGCTAAAAGTGCCGCCTTTCCATCCGGAAGGAGTTTATACAGCCTGACAGTCGCTGGGAGTGGAGCGGGAGGGCAAGGCAGGCAGTGGACGGGGAGAGGACAGAGCTCAGCTGGAGCCAATGCAGCAGCAGCATCGACAGCCTGAGCTAGTGGAAGGAAGCCTTCCGGTGTTCGTGTTCCCCACTGAGCTCGTCTTCTACGCAGATGAGCAGACGTCTCACAAGCAGGTGCTCACGCTCTACAATCCCTATGAGTTTGCCCTCAAGTTTAAAGGTTAGTCGGCGGAGGGGAGTTCAGTGTATCCTTCTTATTCTGCCATATTCAGTAATCCGATTGCAGGCCATTTAGATGATCTTTTCTTCCTGTTTGTCAGTGCTGTGCACGGCGCCCAACAAGTACACTGTGGTCGATTCCACGGGAGCTGTCAAGCCGCAGTGTTGTGTTGACATGTGAGTGCATTTTATGTCCTTGTTTATTTCATTCAGTTCTGTGTAATGGAGGTTGTTTTATTTTTTACTCAGTCATTTTTAGATTTGTTAGACAGCTTTTACCCTCTTCCGCCCTATTTGCGTGGTTTTTAAAGAGTGCCTTCCAAGATGTTCCCAAGCTCTGTGTCTCCGTGCAGAGTCATCAGACACAGAGATGTGCGGGCGTGTCACTACGGCGTCTACGACAAGTTCAGGCTGCAGGTGTCCGAGCAGAGTCAGCGGAAGGCTCTGGGCCGCAAAGAGGTCACAGCCACGCTCCGTCCATCGGCGTCTCAGGAACCGCCGGGCGCCCGGCCCCAAGACGAGGAGCGCAGGATCAAAGAGCAGTTTGCAGACGAGTTTTATGAACAGGCTCCTTTTCAGACAGGTAGGAAGACGTCCCTCAACGCTACCACTAGATGGAGCTAAATGTTCAATGGAGTCCAACTGGTGCCCTTTAGTGGAGTGTTTTGTCTGAAATCATTAATGCTGCCTCCATTGGTATGAAGAGGAAAATAACAGTCACACTCTACACGATGCAATGAAGGAAGCTGAGGGAAAGTACTGCAAAATACAAATAGCTTAAAGCAGACTGAAAGCTCTGAGGCACTTCCTTCCTAATGTTAATCTCTTTTCATTACTGTGATTAATTCAATTAGTTTAAATGCAGTAGCAGTTTAAAAAAATAAAAACAATACAATCAAATATATAAAATACATGTATTAATGCACAAGTTTTATATCATAGATAATGTGTTTTGCACGGTATCAGCAACTCGTATTTCTCTGAGATGGAAACCAAAATGCCCAGAGTATGATCAATACACCGCCCATGCTTAACAGAGCTGTTTCATAATTACATTTAACTACCCTCCTTCTTCGTGGACAACAGCCACACAAAGGCTTTGAGGAGGAAGTGCGTGCTGAATCATAGTGCAGAGAAAGCTTTTAACTTTTTCAACCAGAGCCAGCCCTAAGCTAACGGCTGCAGGTTATGGGAGCTGAAAATCTCTTTGTGTCCACACCTAATTTTTGTTCCGGTAATTAGCAGAGGGCCGACCTGTTGCTGGAGGGCCCAGCCTGCTCACTGTGCTGCTCGGACTCGTCTGCATGGCCGCTCTGATGCTCCCGACGCTGGGGGAGCACGAATCCACTGTGCCTGTCTACCTCCACTTAAGTGTTAATAAGAAACTCGTAGCTGCTTACGTTCTCGGTGAGTTTAAGAAGAACAGTCCAGAACATGCGGAACTGTGCGGGCGGTCTGCGCTGCATTTCATCCTTTTGGCTTGTCATGTTCCAGGTCTCCTTACCATGGTCATCTTACGCACATGACACGGTGTGGAGGGCCAAGGGGTGGATGAGAACGTCCTCCCATCAGAGGCTTCGACCACTAGAGCCGATGGCAGACCGACGGGGAGAATTACATTTTAGCACACCGGTTTTTTCAAACGCACGCATGTTGACGCAAATCCGACGCAGACTTCACTGCAGGTGGGAGGAGCCGTCAGCCCGTGAGGAAACGCCATGCAGCTCAGTGGTGTCCAGCCTCACGCCCTGTGTATTTTTTAATTGCCATTACGTGTCGGAATAGTCAGTTGAGTGCGAAGGAATCCACGTGCAAACATGTATATAAAGCCATTTAAACTTTACGGTATTCACCTGTAACCGACATGTCGATGTTTTTTGAAGCATTAATTGTGCAGACTGAGGACTAAGTGCAGTTATTTGCATGTGTGGACTGACTCTTTTTTTTTTTAACTTTTAAATGTCACCAAAGGAAAGATCTTGACAATGGCTTCTAAGCCGTACTATAATCGATGCTTCGTGTGTTTAATAAAGTCTCAATTCAGCTATGTTGTGAGATGGTTTTGGAGGCTTGTTTAGAGTCACAATGTTCCCTCTTAAGTTAAACTCTTCAAATGCTTGTGATGTGGTCAGAGCTGCAAATATAAGGAACAGCACTACATTTCGAAAAAGAGAACAGACACAGCAGTAACATTCAGAACTATCACAGAGACCTTATAATGAAATGGTTTATTCAGTCCTGATGTCTACCATTCGGCTCACAAACATGACACAAGCAGATGAAGGTGTTAGCCAGCTTGGCACATTACAGCCACTCGGTTACAGACATTAAGACAGCATATTGTCCTTTGATACATCCATGCCCTGAATGAATGACATCAGGGGAGAGAGAGAGAGAGAGAGAGAAAAGGAAAAAAATAGGGATTTGATGGCATCCCGACTACAAGAGAAGTTTGACTGCTGCTGCCGTTTCCTTATTTTGAACGGCGGAAAGAAAGACATTCAGTAAATGAGCTGTGACCACAGTACTTCAACTAGAAGGGCACACGGTCATAAAATGGTTTACAATCACCTGCCTCTCCCCCCTCCCTTTCTCAAAAGACTACAGTCATTAAGGGGTTCAGAATTACACATGGGTATGTATAGTCTGCATCTCCATGGCAACGGATGACTAGTTTAGATGCAAGTATCATAGTGGGGGCTGTTATCGTTTTTGTTTGACGGGTCAAGTCAAGCTTCAGGACAGATAAGACATAGGTTGACAAGGCTTTCAATAAACCAAACCACAGCAGGCTATTTTATCACAATGTGACACTACTCTTTTATTGCCCACCACTTCATCCTCTTTCTGGTTTGCCTGAATGCTCCAGCAGTCAGTTACCAAACGACAACACAAAACTGCTGACCTCCACTGGAGACAGAAAGCTACCGCCATCTGACCATATAAACATTCTTTCCCCTATAAATAAGAAAACTTTCCCAGAAAGGGTGAGGAAAAAAAGAGATTTTTCACCCCTATAATTTTTATATCTACAAAAACCATCCTGACAAAAACACAGGATATGAAGCCTTTTAGTGTTGAAAGACTACCGAGGAATGACCATATCACTTCATTCACCATTGACATCGAGGTGCATCACCTGCTCATTCGGGGCTGTTAAATAGTTGCAGCAAAATCATTCGGGAGGACAAAAAAAAAAAAAAAGGAAAAGTTAACCACAGTTCACAGCCTACATCGTAAAAATATTCCTCACATCCCGCCAAAGCATAACGTCGACGGCATAAGTCATACTGCAGGAGAACGAACTCTGCTTTTGAAAACCTGTTCCTACATTCACCTCGCAGCCCAATGGCAAACTGAAATGGGACAATAAGACAAGGTTACTATGTACACAGTTACAAACAAAGCGGGAACACAATAAATAAAAAACATTTTGTTACTGGTTTTCTTTGTTTTTTTTTTACAAAATCTTGTAGAATGTGCACATAAAAAGCCTATGGAGGGAGAGGGGGTTCAACACAAAAACAGGGAGATGAACACATCCCTAAAGTCTGTTGGTTTTGTCCAGTGCTCAGCGTCTCAGCGGTGGGGGTGCACACAATATTTAGGATGAAGCCGAGCACCAGAGGGGATACTCAAACTAGCAGCGGGTGCTCACAGTGTCTTAAGGTCGGCTTCCAGGGGCCTTCCTCTGGACTTGTGGATCCCAAACATACCCAGGCCCTCCCATGGAAGCAGCGGTTTCAGAGGCAAACACCAGAGACTCCACAGAAACTAAACGCAGGTGTCGGGGAGGCGAGCGGTCTGAGAAAGGAGGCCGGGTCCACTCGAGAGCGGTGGAAGCCATTTGATCCAGCGTGTTCAGTTTTTCGGGGGGATAATCTAAAAAAGAAAAAATCTCACTTTGGGGACAAATCCTGAATGGAGGCGAAGGGCGAGTTGCTTGACGACGAAGGCGACACTCCTTCCATCTTGCCAGGGGAGTCGGTAGAAGACCCCACGCTGCTTAGACTGCCGTCGAGTAGATCTGGAGAGTGGCTGTGAGGGAGAGGACGGCAGTTGTTCATGCTCACCCAAACTGATATACATTAAGTCACCCCATTGTTTGCTGTTCTCCAATTAAACAATACCAGTTAAATAAATCAGAGCAAACCGTCAAAAGCTGAGGAAGGAGGGGAAAAAAAGGGGTGGGGGATCCCTCCGTTCCTTACCAGGAGCTGATATCTGACAGGTTGGAGACATCTGAGGACAGCATGGTGGTGGTACCCTGGAAAAGCCTTTTGGGTTGACTCTCTGACTCCATCTCACCTACGGAGGAAGACATTTAAAATTATAGTCAAGAAAACACACACACACACATATATACTTATTTTTTTTATTTTTTTCCCCCCACAAAAACCACAGATCCCTGTTACATGCCATGCAGCCTTCATGACTACTTATTTTCCACAGCTAGTTGACGTGTTTACCTTTGCGTTTTATTGGACCGAGTATGCTGGCTCGGATGCAGTTGATCGGGCTTTGACTCCGTCGACTGGAAAAAAAAAAAAAAAAAAGGGAAAAAAAAACGTTAAGCCAGTTTATTTAAAAAAGGGGGAAGTCTCAAAACAACATCAGGTGTAGACAGTAAACACAGGACCCCAACACTGCCAAAGATTCTCTTAAATGACAAGAACACGGGCAAGTACCAAGTCAAATTTACTCACTTCAAATTAGTAAATAAAGTGAATCCACTCTTTGTGTGTATTCATGTCAGAAGTAATGCAAATCTAACATTTATGGAACGCTTATATAGGTACTGACCTAAACCTCCGAGTGGGGCTGGGGATGGGACTGGGTGTTAGACCGTTGCTGCTCACGAGTATTTGCAGTGAGGGAGAGAAACACTGCTGCTTGTTAGAAGGAGAGAGAAAAAACAACTAATTAACAATAGCATTCAGATTAAGCCGGAGATACATTAAGAGCCAGGTCGGATAGGTTTCTGCTAATGCTAACACAATGAGGAACTTTTTAAAAAGCTGTGCATCTATATGGAAAAATAATAGTATATGGAATAAATAGAGAAAAAAATCAACCCAGGTCATATTGAAAATGGTGACCATGACGCAGCTACAACTATAAGAAGGAGCCATGACGCAACACAAGCCACCACCACCTACACCAACGGATCCGATATGAATTTCCATTTCATTGGAGGAAGAAATACGCATGTGAAAAGAGCCGATGAAGGAGCCAAACGGAGGCAAAAGGGTCTACATGCAGAGACAAGCGTCTTGTGTTCACACATCGAACGCAGGTGAAAATATGGCGAATTCGAAAGTCACGGCAGAACGCTTTTTTTTCGTCACCTGTACAGACAGGTGATCTTATGCTCAGCTGAGCGGAGGGCAGGCGTACCTTTTTTCCTATTCCTCTGGTTGGGGATGGAGCTGGCGACACGGGAACAAAGTCGATCCGCTTTGGAGAAGAAGACGCCGACTTCTCTAAATCGTTGTCACTCTGAGAAGAGTGTCATCAATCAGCATAGATCTTGGTATCATTTGGCTTTCATTTTAAAAAAGGAAAAAAAAAAAAAAAGACAGATTGTGGGAGTATTATACTACCTACTCAGTCTGTACTTGAAAGACTGGTGGCCCTGTTAACTCCCAAGTGTTTTGAATTTCATCTAGCATGTTTTTATTTGTCCTCTTTCTATATTTCTAGAAAGAGGCTGAAAATGGCATTCTGCCATAACATGCATGTCTAAAAGCTGCTGCAGGCTGCCTTCCAGGAACTCCTGGAGACTCAACACAGCAACAACAACAGGGGATGGACTAAGAGCAGTTAAAAAAATACATTTTATTTACCAGACTAAGACTTTCTTCCCATGACTGGCTCATTTGCATGGCAGCTTGAACTTCCCTGTATGGGCAATGACAGAAAAAAATCAATCAATAAATTGACATCTGTTACTTATGATGGACTATTAGGGCCACATTTAAAACATTTTTTAAAAATGAATTACGAGATTCAAGTCGGTTTTAAATATGGCAAGAATAATTACGAAAATAAAGTCAGAAATATTACATCCCGTTTTAGAAGACGAGAATTTATAAAATGAGGGTTGCGGAGCAGGGAATTGGTGGAAATATACTTTAAAATAGGTTTCAAAAACAAGTTTAATCGTTTAGAACACCAAAAAGAACATGCAAGAAATGCATCTTCTCTGCAGAAAGAACCGGGAGGGCTTGTACAAAATTGCCGCTTTCGTAGAGGGGAAATGGCTGGAAGTGGTTGACTGCATGGTTAACAGTGGGGTTTTAATCTCCCCATATATAACTTTAATATCGTAAATCACTCCCGCCATATACAATAACTACTTTATTCTCTTCATTCCAATAAAATGTTTGTCTCTTCTTTAAATATGCCCCTAATATTCTGTCGCAGTTACCATACAAAATTGTAACCCCCCCCCAAAAAAAAACATGCTGAACGAGTCCACATCTTACCGCTCATGTGCAGTCTCTCTGTTCATCACATCCACCCCCTCTTCCTGCAAGAATATACACAAAAGCTAACAGATGTGATGTTCAAAGAGACGCTTTCAACTCAAACAAACGTCTCAGAATTAAGACTACAATTGCGGCCGCTGGCCCCCAGCAAACTCGACTGTACTCCACCTCAGGTGTGGAAATAAATGTCCTCTTGTTGGAGTCTGATACTACCAGCTGGTCACCTCTGCAAGACCAACGGTCCTGTGAACTCCCATCATGTTTTGCTCTTGCATGTTTTAGTCGACACCGTCACTCCCTATGCTTGAGAGGGAAACGGCGGTCTGACATGCTCACAACCTGCCCGTTCCTTACTTGTTTAATCTGATGGAGCCTGGTGCTGGGGATGCGGATGGGTGAGGAGGGGACCTGCAGAGGAGGGTGTGTGTGGACAGGTCATTTCGTCAGTGTGCAGCATGGCTTAAAGCGGAGCCAACATTAAGAAAGTACAGTACCGTACCATGTTCGGCCTGTTGACAACTGTAGTGCTATTCCTTCGACTCCGTAGGACCTCTCTCTGGAATACTTGGGTGTTATCACTGCAATGACAAATTGTACTTGTTGCTATCACACTGTATACACATATGCATAGAGAGAGAAAAGTAAATAAATTCAACTGTGGACCTCAAGCCATTTATCATGGGTGCACTGTTTGATCTCCTCAGGTGCCCATCAGTCTGGACTAATGAAGCTGGGATTTCCAGATCCAGCTCCATCTTTTCTTGCGCCATGACTCCGGGGTTGTTCATGTTGTTGAATAACGTGGCCCGTCACCCACACATCAACTTAGACTCAAGCTCAGTAACGTCACATTACTGATCCCTGACGTTCGTTGGTTTTACATGTTTAGGTGAATGATTGCCAAAAAGGCAACTAAGCTGACGTGAAACAAAACCGACTAACACGATGTGGACAGCCCACAACAGCCTGCGGGGCCCTTTCGTGAGTGTGATTCCAGTACAGAAACGACCCAATAATGTTTTTAAACTACAACATTACCCCTACAACTTATACACAACTATATGCTTAGCCAAAACTTCCCTGCAATAACGTTGTCTGTAACGTTAGGACTAGTCACCAACTTTCCTGACGGATGGTTAGCATGCCGTAGCCACTTACCACACAATGCCCAGCAACTGTTAGCTACAGCTACTGATCCGTTAGTTTGCTGGTGCAAGGCAGCAGTGGCTGACGGAGGAACCAAGCTACAGCTGCATGTTAGCGCGTCAAGGGAGCTTTAGCCAACCAAACAGTTGCTTTAAATGCAAAATTCATGTCCATGTTAAGTTTAATACAGGCAACGTTAAAGCGACCACGTTATGAAAAAGAAAAACTGGCATACCTTCATGCTAACACAACACTGCTAACGTTGCACTTGTCGCTAGCCCGGTGGTTCAGCTGTAATCATCAGCTCTGCAACTTAGCCTAGCATTATAAGCTAACTAGCTAAGTTAGCAATATCGCCAATGGCCACAATGCCATTTCCACAGAGTCCCGGTCAACATATCACTTAACGTTTTTGCAAAATAGCGTGGTCATCACTTCAGCTTACAGAGCTAACAAAGTCGTATCTAATCAAAATGTTGACTCGGGCGTTTACGGTTTCATTTTCTCGTTTTTACTGGGTGCCGCCAAGAATGAACCAGAATCCCAGATGATCACACGAGAGCTAAGTGCTAGCATGAACTTCACGCCCCTTTTGAACGTTAGCAGACCTGTCCAATGAAATCGCTTCATCTACCGGTGTAACAGGGAATTCTGTGACCCTACATGATTCCGCCAACAAGTTCTGTGAGCACAACTGCTAATTTATTTCACGATATATGATCTTTTTTTTTAGTCTAATTTTCAACAATTAACTTTATTCTTGGTTTGTCAGAAGACTCTTTCAAGAATAAAATTATAGTTATTAGACCGAATCCTGTAATACTACAGTAGTAGTTCTTTCATTTCTCTTCAGGCGGAAATTCGGCATCATTAGGTTAATTTAGGTGTCTTACTGCTCCGGAAATGCAGAAACCCTGTTTTAATTCGGTCACAAATTGAAAAAGCTTAAACTCGGTAAATTAGCCACAGTATCTAACAGTTATCTTCACATAAATTAATATAAATGTCTGTGGAGCCGTTAAAACTCATTCTGAGCTAGCTACCGAAAGAGAGGCCCCAAAACAAACGTAGAAATAAGTAAAACATAAATAAATGAAAAGAAAAATTCTCAAGTACAATTTTGTGCAAATGCTAGACTTTGTTCTTTTACAGGATGGGGACGGACATAACACATATTTAGGTGTATCGATTCAATGTACAGACACATTTAGGAACTATGATAAGTTTTATCAATTTCAAACAGCATGTTTGAAGTTTCACCATAGTTTATGTTCTCAAAATTTGAAAAAGATAATCCCTCAAAATGCAATCTGATTCGTTTTTTCATGTAATCTGTGGTTAAAACATTTATTTTTCATAATCTGATTATATAATCCAGATTACATGTAACCATTCTCTACACAACCCTGATGACATCTTTTTCCTTGAATCTCACAGCTACTTACATTCTTAAAAGCTTTCACAAACTAATTTTTTTTTTTAATTCAAAGATTAGAGTAAAAATTACTCTTGATATTCATACCTGGATCCCAAACACCTTTGTCTACAGGAGGCCCAACAAGTTTATCCTGGTGGAGTGGAGGGAGCTTCAGCTTTACGCAATTATCTACAAAAACCATGAAGTGGATCTGTCCTCATCCAGCCATTCTTTAATATCCTTTATTCCCCTCCACCAAAAGCAACTGTGCTGATAAAATGTAAAGAAATGCAGGATATTGATTGCCGTGACACTGGAGTGGGGTTAAATGTGATCAGTCAGGGTTATGATCAAAGTCAGCTTTAAGTTCAGATAAGATAGGACACAAACTGTTTTACTTAGAATCTGGTCCTGACCAGAATAAAGAGGAAAGGTTTGTTCAACATAACCCACACAATTATTTAAATGTTTTTTTCACTTAAAAAAACTAACATTTGATGGTTTGTGATGACTACATAGTTGACATAAATGATGGATTACAAGATTTTAAGATCTTGTTTGCTTATTTTCTTTTTTCAAATCTACTAAACAGAAAAATAGCATATTTATGTAGCTATTTTTTAGATGCATTTGTTACCATTTCTGCTTCTCAGTGATGGTAAGCTTTGCAATAACTTTGACACTTTGTCAGAGAAGGAGTGGGAACAGTTTAATAGCTGATGTTGCAAACTTCAGGTTTACAGAAAAAGTGAAGGCAAGAATTTGTACTTAAATGGACATGAGCAACGTTTGACTTTCTTTTAAAATAAGTCCAAGCTGTAGTCTTGGCGTGTCTGGCAGCATTTAAAAAAAAAAGTCGCGGTCTAATAACATCCATGGCTTGGATTGGAAAATGATTGAAAACATAACACTTATGAATAAGAGGATGTCAAAAGACCTTTAACATGCACAGGTTTATTAATCAGGGACAACAGCCTCCTTAAAGTTTACTTGAAACTCAAAGCAATTCGAAGGTGCCCTTAAACCCGACAGAACAACAGTGCGTTATGTCCCAGACATACACGTCAATAATTGCAACATCTTCTTTATAGGCGCCTTTAAAACAGCCGTTGGTGAATCCAGATTAAAGAAAAATCAGATTAAAAAAAAAAAAAATCGACTTTGTTTCTTAAATAATTTGGAAATGCACAAAAGGATTACTTTTTACATTACGCTAGCAGCATTGTTGAATAAATTAATTTTACACAAACAGACAATATAAATCAGTGTGGGGGCATGACATCGTTATATACGCTAATTTAAGGTGAGGCTGGGCTCCATGCTCTATGACCCAGATTTGGTTCTTTGGATGGCAGTCTCTTTTCCTGTGTGCATGTGTGTGTGTTGGATTACAAATAATTTTTAAAAAGAAATTGAAAAAAGAAAGGCAAAACCATCACCTCCATGTATCTTTGTTGACCCTGAACACAGGCGGATGATCTTTTGACACAACGTGAAGAAATCAAATATAAAATGAAGGGAGAAAGGAAAATACAACCCATCATCAAAAACTGGACAAGTGATCCTCATGCCTTGTATTTCTCCTTCCCCGTTTCACTGATGACACAGATGTGCTGAAACAGAACGGGAATCGATAAACATTGCATCATAATATTGATGAACATTATCTTGCTCTCGTCAGACCCACCAGCAAACAGACAAGCTGTGTGTACAAAGTGTACAAACTCCTAAAAGCACGAAGCGTGACACACTTCACCCAGTTTTCCTCGCCCGTGTGAATACTTACATTTAGATCTCTAAAGTACTCGTTGTAGTCTAGTGCGTATCCCACCACAAATTTATCAGGGACCTCAAATCCTACAACTGGAACAGGAAAAAAAACCACAGGAACATCTTAATTGGATTAATAAAGATGCACCAGCACATCCAAAATAAAGAAATGTAAGAAAAGTGAAGGAAAAAAAAAAAAAAAGCATGTCGGACATGTTTTTTTTCCAAATCTGAAACTTACAGTCCGGTCGGTAGCCAACACTTCGTGGCGTCCTCTTCACCAGCAAACTGTGGACGGAGACCAAACTGATGGTCAAAAGATGCTTTTAGTGGCAGCATGCAAGTGGTTTGTGAGGCAGTCTTACCTCGCTACTTTGACCATTTTAGGATTGTACTGTTTGAGGAGTTGCAATAACGTCTTCATAGTCTTTCCTGTGTCGATAATATCCTTAAAAATCACAGCACAAGAGAAGAACACGTCAGTATGTCTTTGACTTAGGCATAACATACTTCATTGTGGAAGAGGAAAAGTTTTCTTTTAAAAATCATTACCTACCTCCACAATCAAGACATTCTGTAGAAAAAGAAAAGGGAGAAAGAACATTCAAGCATCTAGTGACAACACTGACAGGAACAAAAAACAAGCGTAATAAAGTCAGTTAGTTTCAGTGTTTTTTATAATATTGCTGATCATGCTGTCAACAAATGACAGTTCACTATCACGCTATCCTAAATGCCTTTTTACCTTGCCTGTCAGAGTGGATAGATCGTCCCCGCCAATCACTTTGATTTCACCTGTCGATTGGTCGTTCTGAAGAGGCACAAGTTTGTGAGTGTGTGAGCCGCCATACGTCACATAACGACATCCAAGAGAAGGAAACATGCAGGTAAATAAAGAAAAAAAACTACATTCAGCCCTCACAAGAACAACTTCAAAGTTCATTTACCTTTGATTAACACTGAACTGGCTCATTAGCCCAATCGTCAAGTGATTAAATTCACACATGCCTCTGCTTCTACCAAGTCATTCATAACAATCAAGATTATCTAAAATAATATATATTTTTTAAAAACATTGCCTACTTTATTTGGATGAGGGTTGCAAACATTATTCATTTTTGGTCCTCTTTTATTTTCGCTTTATATGTTGGCATTACGGGAGGTTATGTCTGTGGACAAAGTGTCCTTTCACTTTTATGCAGATGATTTACAAATATATTTGTCTCTTAAACCAAGTATGACCAGTGCAGTTTTATTTTTTGCAGACTGCATTACTTCTGTTAAACAGTGGCTAGCTGAGAATTTTTTGTTTTTAGACCATTATAAGACTGTTTGCATTGTATTTGGCGATATTGCTCCCACAGACATTAGTGCTTTGCCTTTTAAGTTAATTGAAACAGCAATCATGGGGTAATATTCAACCAAGAGTTTAACTTCGATAAACAAATCAACTTCAATCAAATCTAGCTTTCATCATCTGCGCTTACTGGCTAAAGTCAAATCTTTTGGAAATCGCTCTGACTTAGAGAATCCAATTCATGCATTCGTGAGTTCTAGACTTGATTATTGTAATGGACATTAACTTGCTGTCCATCAGTCTTCCCTAAGACAACTTCAACTTGTCCAGAATGCAGCTGACCGTCTTTTAACCAACACTTCTAGATGTGACCACATTACCCCTGTCATATTTTCTTCGCACTGGCTCCCTGCTCATTTTAGAATTGATTTTAAAATCTTAATGTTTGTTTTTAAAGCATTAAATGGTAGTCAGTGACACAGGCGAGGACCATGAACACACACCTCTAAGCGCAAAGACCAAAACAAAAGTTTAAGTTGCATTAAAAACGATCTCCTTTGACTTATTATAACCATAACCTCACTGTCCTTACTTTTTTTTTTTCTATACAATTGTTCAAACGCAGCCGTGAAAGTCCTATATACGCGAATAAATAATTACAAGCATGTAACCAAATCAAAACACCAATAAGTGGATAAAGAATTTTTTTTGCCACACTCACCCTTCGGCAGTAAAAAAAGACTTAAGATCTAATTTTAGGGAAAATGTCAACATAAGGCTTGAACAAGTGAATTTAAACTAAATCATACACACTGATTAACAATGATAACGGAGGGCGAGAGGCTGTGCATGTCCCTCCCCACCTACAAACAGGATCAAGAGAGTCCTGGCTGAGTCCAACATGGACTTTGTAAAAGCTGGAATTTGTGCTAAAAACAGATGGAGCATGACTCCAGAACAGCAATTCTTGAGTCCCATACCCCGTACTCCATGAGACTAAGGAAATACATGGCACCAATGTTAATGGGCACCCCAAAGTGCTCAACCCACGGCTTGAGATATCTTTAGTTAAGTCGTCCGCCAGGCCTCAGATGTAAAACTTAAGATTGGCCCTGCTTCGGGTACCAGGTGGCCAAAAGGGTCACTTGGTCACTTTTAGGTGACGCCTGATTACATCTGTGCACAGGATGGCTCCATAATAAGTCAATCTTTAAACGCGCAAATCTGCATTGTTACGTCACAGATGAACAAACTAGACAACTGAAAATATTCTGTGAATAAAGAAAAGAAAGTGATTGTTTACACAGTAGCTCTTGAGGCGAATAAAGTCCACTGTCATGGGAATGGAGCGGTCACTGTTCCTGTTGAGGGCTTTGATGTAGTCCAGAAGGTCTGCGAAAAACTTGTACCCTCCTTTGAGCACACAGAGGGCCACGATGTGGTGTCCACCCATTTCTTTCATGATCTCTCTAGCCAGCCTCTCTGTTCTGAGGTCACATGGGAAAGAGAGAGAAACACGGGCTCAGTTTTCTGCTTCAGTCAGCAGAACTTCTTTTTTTTCTGTTTGTGTCAGCAGGCAAAGCTATCATTTCTAAAAGAGCCCCCCGAGTATAACAACCACTGACATCTGTTTGAAAAAAATGAGCACCACACAGGGTTAGTACTCAAAGCATTAAGAACCAAATCTACAGGAGTGAAACAGAAATGTCAGTGTCTTCATTCACAAATATATAGTTTTTTACCTAAGAAATTTAAACAAATCTACCATTTCTTGCCGGTAACACTGAAGTTTTTGTCCCACTAAGAAGGTAAAATCGTTAAAAAAAATGAAAAAGTAGCTGCACAGAATTCTAAAAAGAGTATAATAATTGGCCATGTGAGGGTGTCAACACTGGGTATAAAATAAAACAAGTCTTCTCAGACAAGAATGTGCGATGTTTGCTCATTCCTTCCACAATTTCTTTATCAGAACTCCAACAATATATTGGGATCAGATTGGATATTTCTTCTATCAATGATTTTTTCCCATCTGATTAAAGTTTCTATATAATTTAAAAAGCCTAAACTTGATTGAAAACAATAAATTTCTATCAAGCTATGGGAAACGGTGTGAAACTTTAAAACTTTACCTGTTGTCATTAAAATGAAATTAGGTTTTCTTTAGTCTTATTTAGCAGCACACGTGCAAACCCCACAAATCCCAAATGTGCCTAGAAACTTTTTTCAAGATGGTATAAGTGTGACTACCCACCTGTCCAGGATGAGTCCATGAGGGATATAGACCCTCTCCAGGTCAGCAGCATAGTGCTTTGGTATGCAGAAAAGATCCAGGTCATAGCCCTGCTCCTCATCGCTAATCTGAGAGAGAACACAAATCTCAGGTATGTTTCCTAACTGGGAACATGGGGCATTCAGCTAACACAGGGCAATACAAGCTGGTCCTGTATATGTATGTCCCTGCTTAAAGACGTTTATCTGTTACAAACTAGAAGACAATTTCTGTTCTGTACAGATAAACAAGCAGCCAATATCTCCTCCCACCACCATATGGAGACACCAATGAAATAGTGGCAAATACATGAGTAACATTCATGGAAAGAGGAACCTTTCCATTTTAAGCCCCACTGTATCCCTGTGCTGAACATTTCCCTCCAGATGACTATTTTGTTCCCACTGAAAGATGTTGACAACTCGTAGCTCAGGCCCAGAATTTCCACATTGGGGCTAACTCAAACAGCCAGTATTTCTAATATTTCGGAAAATTTAATTTCCTGCTCAGGGTCAAACACGCTGCCACGAGAAAAAGCAGACGGCATAACTGGAATCATGTGACAGCTGGGCAGCTGGTGCAGGGGTCTCGGAGCTGTGGGAAGGACGCAAGGCCGGAATGTGAACCTCCCCAGATCAACTAAATCTTCAATAAATGCAGGATTAGACATCCTCATGTTCCAGGTGGTAAAACAGCAACAAAGCCTCATTTTCCCTTAAGGCTGCAAAAATGAAAAGACATAAGCATCTGTTTGAGATAAAAGATTTTCCCGTGGAAATAATGACAGCGATTAAGCAGATGGTCTCACAGTCATGTGATCTGAAGGATTATTTCCCACCATTATTGAGTTTGCTACCTGATATTTAGGAACAGTCATTTTAGCAACCAGATCTCAGATCAAAGAAAAGATTACTTTAAAATCTCAGTGTTTGGAACATAATCTCATTTGAAACATGTTCTAGGAGAAGGGATTGGCCACTGTTTTTTTTAATATTTTGAGCAAAATGCTTCAAAATATTTCCTACAGTCTGCTTTATCAGACTTTAACTGGTTTCCCAATACTGGCTACTTCTTGGGGAAAAAGCAGTTATTTATTTACTTACCAGAATATAACATTCTCTGCTGCCAAGCACTGTTGATCAAATATTACATAACGTTTATGACCCATATGACAGGACAGAGGCTGACTTAAAGAACAAAAAGAATTCTTATATAATTATTTTCTTTTTAAGGGTTTTGGACTAGCAGGGAAATAGACAAGCCGCAAAGCTCCCATAATGATACCATCCCAACAGGAATTTGCAAGTGCTCATGACATCAGCATAGACTTTAATCAGATTTTTTCGGATTGACAACTTCACCAAATCTAATTTGTTTACCAGGGATCAACATTTGATTATCTTTACTAGGAGGTAACCACTGCACACAAACAACACGACCTCCCACCCATAACAAATCCAACGGCATATTAAGGTTTGATTTGACCCTTTGGTCCAAAACAATCACAGGATTCCATTATAATAACGCATACAACACGCAGACATCTTTCTAGGCTTCTTACAGTGTCTGGATATCTCCTACATTATTAATGCAACCCAATGAGTCAGTGATTAAAAACACGGCCCCTTTGTCGGGATCTTCAACCCCTTTTGATAATGTCACTCAATTTGTCATTTTAATTTATTCATGCGAAGGCGCTGACAGAAAGCGGAAAATAAAACGTTTTGTTCTTTTACCCTGATTCGTGCCTGTACAGAAAAACACCTATTGCGTCACCTACGCGAAACGTGGGGAACGCGTGTCTGTGTCCAACCGCAGGCCACGCTTTAAAACACGTTCCTTCTGACAAACCGTCCTATCAAGGTGAGTGAAAAGGACCAGACAGGCAATTAACAACACCACCGTGTTTGGCAAGCTGTGGTATGCCCATGTAGACCATGTTACTGCGCGAGGACACAGCACACACCAGCTCTTATTTCACTTCAGAGTAACATAAACTTACCACTACACAGGGACTAGATGCTGCCATGCCGGTGACGGTCCCCGTAGTTTAATTTTAGATGCACTTTATATATACCTCCGTTATCTTCAGTTACTGAAGACAAGACGTTATTTCAGATCTCGCGGTGTCTTCCGCCTTAAGTGGGACTACGCATGAAGGCGCGGAATTCTCCGTAGCTTCACGGTGCGGGCAACACTTTCTGGGCTTCCGATTGACTCTAGTTAGGTCAGCCGCCCGATGTGCGCAGGAGTACGGACAGCGAATCGAGCGAAGACTAAAAGTTAGCCCCGCCCCTCCCGGAAGAGGTTGCTGTGGCGGGCATGGTGGCGGGTGTCTCGAGCTCAGGAGCGCGAGCAGACTGCGAATTTCGCGCTTCGTCGTGTCTGTCAACCAGGAAACTGACAAATCATAATGAAAAAAACACGTTTCGAAAAGGAAAAAAGGCTCTTAACAATATCAAAGACTAAATTCACCATTTTAGTTTATTCAAATTCTGATGTTTTTATTGCAATTATTGACTTAATTGTTGGATAATCCTATCTCAAAGTATATCTTTTGGACCCAAGATGTTACTGGTTATGCAGAAACATAATTTCCCATAAGTTAATTCAATACTGCAACTATTTTTTTTACATTCTGCTTGAGTTCAGGCACTGTGAGAGTAATTTTAACTAATTCTTATTGTGTTTTTACTTGTCCTTGGAGAAACTCTTGGGTGTCTTTAATGTTAGGAAACAGAAATCTTAAAAGCAGCTTTCATCAGTCAGCTGATTGAATCAACACCATCTTCAATTGCTTGTGGATTTTAACTTTTTTCTCTAGAAAGTTATACGCAACAAGTTGAGATTAGACAGAGGCTGCACATTATTCCCTAGAGAGTGTTCTTCGCTTGAATTATGCAATTCTCTTTAACTGCCTTCATTTTCCACGGTCATAGAAACAATAACTATTAAACTGAAGCCTTATTTCTGCCTTATACCTGAAGAACAGATATTTACATAACAGAGAAGTGGTGACATCACAACTAACAATTATTGTCAGGATCATAACAAAAGCCTGGTATTCCTTGACACAAGCTTCGTCACTGTTTATTAAATAAATAAAATAAAGCTACTGTGAAGAGGGGATTTCAGTGAATGGTCTGCTCAGATACAGGAATCAATTGGAATTGTTCGCAGTAGGTAAAAGCTGTTTGACTCCTTTGGTTTCAGTATTGTGCCCACATTTGCCATCAGACTTACTCTTTTGAGAGAAACAAACCCTCTCTCAATGTTATGACCGTCACAGTGTGACAGCTCTCTTGCCTTGTACAAGTTCACCTTAAAGGTACAAAGGCAACTATGTATGACCTGCTAGTTTGACTTTACATTATAATTGAGCCAGTAGAAGTGAGAAGAATCGGAATATTCCGTAACTAATTTTTTTATCCTGATCATATGACTTATTCATCAACTGTCTTTAAAAATACCAAATAATGGAAGAGTTACAAACCCAGTAATCGTTGCATTTCTTATGCGTTCGACTCTACGTGCAGCTTCAGTTGGGCTATGTAGCATAGAAGTATGATCTAACCATATGCCAGCTAGTGTGACATTCCTCACTTGGAACTCTTGAAAAATCATTCCCCCTCATTTCTCAAAAAATGACACACTGAGAAAGTGACCAGGCGCTTTCCAAAATAAAAACACTCCATCCACACAGTGATGTGTAAAATAAAATCATTTCTATTCCAATCGTCCATGGATACATTTGTTGAAATACATGTAAACAGTACTTCAAACAAAGTCAAGCCAACTCCTCTGCTTTTTACCCTTCAGCAGCCAAAAAAAAGACCCAGAAAGAAGACACCTTTAACAGTGGGAGAAGTCAAGTGCATGCTGGCAAAACTCGTGACTTTCTGTAATCCAGATATTCAAAAGTACTTGTTATGATAATACAGTAGCAAAATATCACATATCAAGAAAGAAAGGCTAACATGAAAAGAGTATTTTTAAGACATGATTACTGAAACAAGGTAATCAAACTGCACAACTTCATAGAGACTAGTAACAAATAAGACCCCTCTTAAAAGTGAGTCCTTTGGAGGCTGGGGGGAAGGGGGGGGGGCAAATGTGGTTCTTGTAATCTGCGCGGACACGGGCAGTGAGTGACAATCAAAAGATTGGGTCCATCGGCTCTTATTCATGGCATTAATCCGAGCCCCCTCCTTTCAAACTCCTGGCGCGGATTAGCCGTCGCTTTTCATGATGCTGCAGTAGTCCAGAGTAACACCAGCCTCTGAAATGCTCGACCAGCCGTCTGAAAATGGGTTGCATTTTCTTTTTGTGTATGTGAGAGTGCGTTTTCCCGCCATAAAGACGCCATCTGGTGCACATCGGAACATTATGTCCATTTACTTGAAGGAAACCACGTGAAAGATTCGTAGGAGCTCCCAGACCGTTGCTTTGCGAGTAGGCTTTCGTATAAAAAAAAAAAAAAGAAATAAAAAAAGCTCTCCCGCTTAGTTTCTTCTGTTTTTCCTTCACATAAAATTGTTTTTGTCCAAACCTGCAAGAGGAGAACCAGGAGGGAGAAAAAAAATGTTAGGAGTTGTTTTCCTTCCCCCCCTCTCTCTGGCAGCTGAAGGACACTTTGGAGCTCACGTGGATGTCCTGGCCGTGTGTTATCTGTGTCTGTGTGCTCATTCTTACCTAGTTGCCATTCAACTGCGTTGATGGTGTCCCTCCGTGGTCAATCGCCGCTCTCTCTCTGCTACGGTTCTCTCGCTCCTCGTCCTCCTCATCCCTCTCTTCGTTGCCGCTGTGGTTTTTGCAGTATAGTCTAAGATAATGAATGTAAATGAAAGGTCTCGGATATGGATACAATTTAGCTGATTAAATACCAACGGCCACAATAAAAACAAAAAAAACAGGCAGTCAGAGAATCACAGACAGCTGTCAGATCATACCAGTAGCATTCTGCTTTATTTTAAGCCGTGGAGCACTCATCTGACATCTGAAACAATGCCCACTTGCAGCCAAACTGTAACGTTTAAACCATTTATCGTAAGTTGCCGGATCAAGCATATGCAGGAGTTGTAGGTTGGCTGGTGATGCTGCTCTAATGAAGAAGAGTTTCTTATCTACTGCCACTGTACAGCAAAGAATCCAGCTGGTACTAACAGAACAATTATTTATGTAATGAAAATGTTATTAGGAGTGACTATTTCCATAGTAGAACATTTCTGTGCATCAAGGCTTTTGAGTGTTTTTTGGTTCGGTTGACTCACAAAAATCTTTTCAACATTGATTAATGTTTCTTGTGTTTTCCGCCTAATAACTGAGGTGTTTTAAGTTTCCTTTATTTCTTTCTTTCCTCCCCCCAAAGAAAGACTTTAGGAAAGCTTCAGAGGCCAACATTGAAACTGATTCTAAGCCGTGGAGGAAGAAGGTCACTAGAACACATTTGTAAGAACACACTTAATATTTACTTGGCAAGTGACTGAATTAACCATCCGGTAATCACGGGATAACTTCAACCAGCCAGATCATCAGAGATAATATTTTTACCCCATTTTTCAATGAAAAGAACCTGCATTTGACAGTGTCAGTGCAGCATAATGCTGGACAGACTAATTTAAAACAAATGCATTCAACAAATGACTACACACAAAATTCTGCGTGACTCCCAACATTCCTAAAGCTCAACCAGTAACTCGGTAAGAGAAGAGTAAAATAAGTCACAAAGGTTAAGTGCACTGGAATTCTACTTCAAAGCATAAACTTAATGCATATCAAGTGACAAAAAAAGCTAATGAGAGCACATGCAAACAAAATCTATTTAATTTATCTCAGTTTAACAATTTGATAAAAAAATTAATCTCACGTTAACTCCCACCAACCCCAAAATATTCATGATAAGTTAATTGAAGACTAAATTGCCCCTAGGAGTGATTGTGAGTATGTCTGATTATGTTCTTATTTGCTACCCTATCATGGACTGGCGACCTGACCTTGTGTACCCGTCAAGAGGGATAATCTCCAGCCCACAGCCCCCCTACAAAACCTACTTGGAATCAGCGATACAGAAAATGGAACGCAAAAATACAAGCAATCAAAGCTTGCAGTGAGGTGCAAATATGACCTAACACTTACAAAACATCTGATTGTATAATAAAGGTGAGCTTACTTGTAGATGCCACGTGCCATGTTTTCAATATACTTGGCTTTGTCCTGCAGGCCGCAGTGATAGTGGTAAGTTTTCACGCACGCTTTGATTTCACACCCAATGGTAGCACCCAACTGGGTGCATAAGGTGCATTTCTGAAGAAAAAGAAAGGGGTAAAAAAAAGACTAAATTAAAGATGTCAAAAACGTAGGATTCGAGCGTGGCACATTTTCTGAAAAGCAGCTCCCCACCATTCTTTTGCCCCTCTTGATTTCCTGGATGACTGTTTTTACATCGAAGTTTCCAAACTCGGCCCGTGACGTAGTGGTCAGTTGTACCGTTCCTGACGAGAAAAGCTGAAAAGGGAGAGGAGGGCTGCTGAGTAATGCAGTTGGTAGTGCTTGGAAGCGCACCGGTTGTGTGAAGAATCCTACCATGCATTTGTAGTGTGCTGCCACTTTCTTGGAGACGTCCGTGTGCAGCACGCCTCTCGTTTCGTTCTCCTCGTCACCGGCGTGGCAGAAGCCACAGCGCTGGCCGCCATCTGCCGGGCTGCTCCGCAGGGGGGACCTGTCCCGCTGCAACACAGGACAGCGTTTCAGAGGATGTTAGCCCGGTCTGCACTGCAACATGGCTGGCTTGGATGAAGTTCTCTCTGTGCATTTACATGAGACGAGCTCTCCTCGTCTGCCTGAGAGGAGGTGGAGCGACTTTCTTCCGACTGGCCCCGAGATGCAGCCTTGGCTCTCCCCTTTTCAATCCGCCCCCTGCCCCTACTCTGTGGAGGCGTCGAGTCTGAATCGTTGGCCACGCCACCTTCTTCATCTATGGCCAAAACAGTCACACTCAGGATGGAAGTTTCAGATTGGATTAGCTTTCTCTGAGAGATTGAACAGTCTGTTTCGCCTAGACGGGTGCCAGAAAGTAGAGGCATACTTCACCTTGAACGTCTTCCTGAGAGGCATCCCGATGTTTGCGACAGTAAACACTGAAATCAGGCAGAGAAAGAGGAGAATTTCGTTTAAATGAGCAGCCCAACAGCATGCACTTTTGACCCGGGGTGTGAAACTTACAGGTAAATCCCTTGCGAAGGGTTCTCTTTGACTTGGGCTTTGTCCTTAATGGCGCAGTAGTAATGGTACGTCCTTCGGCACGTCTTGACGTCACAGCCGATTGTCGCTCCCGGTCTGTGACATGAAGAGCACATCTGACAAAGGGAGAGAACATAGTTGCTTACCATCCAGAATGATTAAGAAGCGCTAGTAAAAATTAATTGTAATAGTTCAAAAGTAAATCTGTTGGCCCGTGATGGCTCAAGGCAGCGCATCCATTCAAGAGTTCCTGTTCTTACTTTTTCCCTTTATCATAGCTACTTTTCACAAACTGGCATCACATAAATGCGTGGATTTTGATAGAGCTTAAATTTGATGCATTATGCTCAATTAACACGGGCCAACTGAAATATCAACAATGTCCTGAAATTATTCCTATTGGGACAAGTGACACATTGTTAAGAGAAGCCCATGGTGATTTTTGATATATGTAACTTCACAATGCATTAGCCTGAACTTGATGTGGGATTAACCCACCATGAAGGTGATTTAGAGTTTGAAACTGATTTGCACTCTGGTTTTATCCCCATGACACAAACACATTGAGAATAGTTACTGGCAAAAAATAAATAAATAAATAAATAATCTCAAGGAGATTAATATGTTATGTTGCTTCCTATTGCAAACGAGTTGAGGAAGCCTCTGACTGAAATCCTTCTGCACAGAGAGGTGTAATCCATTAGGCTGACATTCTTGTGCAACATCCTCCGTCCCATCAACTGCATTACTCAACGGCCCTAAGGACCCAGCCATCTTCATCAGCCTGTGCCGGATCTTGATTATTTTTCCCTCTTAAGTGATCAATGAAAAAGGCTAAACATTTGATGAGCGGAATCAATAAAGCTGTGTACAAGCATCTGCCATGTGTCTTCATGATCATCTTTGACCGGTTCTCTTTGACAACAATCAATGGGCCAGGCGTGCTTTTTGGAGTAAATGCCATCGGGGGAAAAGAGGAACGCATCCCTCATTTTTACAAGAGCAATAAAAGAAGAAGAAAAATAACTGAACCTCATGGTCTGTGGCAAAACACGAGCTCAGGTACCTCAGCTGCCACTAAGAAACCCTGTCCTGAACCCTACCCTAATAAGAGAAATGAAGACCAGTCTTCTAACCTCAAAGACTACACCCGAGCAGTACAAAATCCCACTGGAGACGCACAAAGGCCTGAGCAATAACAGGAAGCACCCCAGTGCTCTAAGGGACAAGCACGGCCTTTGCTACACTGATAAAAGGTATGACTTTTATCAAACATAATATGTCCTTTTGGTTGTAAAGATAATAAAATAATGGCACACTTATTCATATAATTTAGAGCCAGGAGAAATCAAGAGGTTCAGGAAAAAGTCCCTGTTTATCAGAACTTACTATGAAAAATTAATGTGAGGTGTAAATAAAAGAAATGCTCAGAAGTGAAAAAAGAGATATATAAATTAAGCTGCACCAACAATGAATTTTTGCATTTTTTCTTTTTAAACAAAATCTTAATCAATCATGGACATTTACAATAAACTAAAAAATATTCAGTGTCAAAACATCCAGTGTCAAAACAGAGAAAATAAAATGAAAGCAGAAACAAACCAGGCAAACATCACCCTGTGACAGACACACAGCCCCCCAAAAAATAATACCAAGATGTGTGAACTGTTACTGTTACTTAAACACCTATTTTGCACATCTTGGGTTCATAAAAAAAATAAGAAAAACTGTCTCCACGTATCAAACATCCAACAGGAATAAGGCTCTAACAATAACTTACTTAAGAAGTGGGCACTCACCAGTTTATTTCCCCTCTTAATCTCCTTTTTCACGTCCTCAACGGAAAACCCTCCAATGTTTTCACTTTCCGAGTGCGACGTGACCAAGGCCGATGAGAAAAGCTGCAGAAGAAGAAAAACGTATTAAAAAAAAAACGATTTCAACAACCATCACCACTGCATTTTTTCTTTCTGTAACAAGACGTTTCCATTGTTTTGGGTTTGTAAGAGATGTTGCATATTCACAGAAATATAATGGCAAATTTTAACTTGTTTTCCCTTCATTGCAAGACTAAACTTCTGGTTTTCTCTTTGAATAAAAGAGTGAAAACACACTAAATGAAGAAGCTTCTCGGCTGTTCAGGTCATGGCCAACTCTATGTGAGAGGAGCCGAGAATAAGAACTGAGCATTACAGATGGCAGGCAGCGCGCTTGAGAACAGTGTGCTCTCCTCACCATGCACTTATGGTGGGCTGCCACCTTCTGGCTGTCAGAGACCAGCAGCTGACCGCACTCCTTGTCCCGGTTGGTCCTGCAGAAGGCACATTTGGGCAGCCGAGCTGCAGCTCCTTTTCTCTGTCCTGACATGGCCAAAGGCTTTTCTGTGTGCCCGAGAGCCTAATTAAAAGTAAAAAATAAAAAAAATCAAATATCACAGACAATAATGGTAAGAAAGCTCTCTTTCCAACAAAATTCCATTTAACTACATTTTTAAAACTGCCTTTTGTTCAAACTGTTGCATTTTGTCCATTGTTTCGTATGCAGGTCAAGCTGAATGCAGTTCAACTAACAGGTCTCAGATTCTTTGGCAAAATAGGTTAACAAACAAAATAACATCTCTAAATATTAACAAACAAGCTGTTAAGCTGCTGATCTTTCTATCACATTAACAGTCAGCCTACTGTCCATAGTCCGAGTTGGCAAGCATTGTGATCGTATTCACTTGCTGAAAGCCAAGTCAACCACTCTGGAATATCAAGTGTTATACAAAAAAAATAATGAAGAACTTTGGGTGGAAGCCACTTGAAACTCTTTCCCAGAAACAGCTGGAAACTAAACTTTGACAAAACTACTAGTCGTGGTAACTTAAAACTTGCGCACAGGAAGTCACAGCAGATTGGCTCTGTGTGTAACTCTGCAAAGCCTCCAGCGCCTCGTGCAGTGGTCCAACACATTTACTTTAGCATTGGTTTGACAGTTCTGAGGTCAGATGGGTTCTAAGTATGGATCCTTTCCACTGAAATTGAAACATAGATGCACACTTTGACATCTGCATCTCAAAACGTGGTTGTGCAAGATGTTGATATTGCGTTAGGTATCAGGCCAAACAAAAGGTTTCTGATAATCCCATTGTAATAATTTCTGATGCAAACCAAGTTGCTTTTCACCATAGGGTCATCACTAGCTTTTCTGACAGTGATGCAACACGTTTTCTATCTTGAACATGCAGCCAGCCCCAGTGTTCCTCCATATCTCATCTGGCTCATCTTGCAGTCACTTACTCCTGTAAAATATTAAGTTCGATTAATAAAAGCCGTTTCAATCAGCCTCTAACCACAAGAAAGATGGAAGCATGCATTACAGGACGAGGTGAGTTTATTTGAATGGTCGTTTAGCCTCTGTACGATTTCCAGGTTATTTTTTAAAATAAATCTGTAGAAGGTCAACAACAGGCAATATTCTTGAAATCCCTGCAAAATCGGATGATTAAACCTTTCCTGGATTCTTCAGATTAAACACAGTAGATCAAAAAAACCACCAAAGATCTGCTGACATTTGCAGAGATACCGCCGTCCTAATGCCCGCAGCCTCCCCCCAACCCCAGAAACATGTAATGCGAGGATGTTCAAATATATATATATATATATATTTAGATATTACAAGATCTCAAATGCAAGTGAGTGATTTTTGTTTAAAAAACACAATAGCAGTGTGCTGCGACGCCTTGATTGAGAGCCATTACAGCCATGATAGCAGGGCCAGGATTTCACTGCGGCGGCTACAGCAGCGGGGCTCGGCGAGTGTACACACAATGCTGCCCGTGTAAACAACACTAAAGACCATTTATTTAAACCCCTGCTTTTCTGTGAACAGCTCTGCTAATGTAAGACTCTCGCTACACGGCAATGCTATGGCATATTTGTGGCGACAACGCGTGAAACATTTAAGAAAAAAAGTGCTCCTTCAATTTCTCCTCCAAAGTTTTGAATTAAAGGGGGTGTGTGTCTCTTTCTCCGCCGAACTACCCGTAACTGAAAACTATTTTCACCATCAACATTTCAGCGCCCCAAAAATATTCTCTTTTAAGGCCCCCCTTTTTTTTGGTGTTGGAACATAAATGTCGGCCGCATGACAATACGGGTACCCGATATGTTTGAACTGGAACCCGAAAAAGGGAGATTATTTCCCTTTAAATGTGGGAAATTCATGACAGGCGCGGGTCTTTGCAAACCGTTTCGAAGCAAAGAGCGCCATACGTGTTGTATCCCTGTGAGGGGAGAGCAGCTCGGCTTGTACGCCAGCAATACGGCCTGAACCGCCACCAGGCCATAAAACGCAGAGGGTATCACCCTGCCACAGACACACGGCTCACTTCTTACCTGCTAATATTATCTTGTCGCGCTAGAAAAATACCGAACGGAGCCAAACTGTTCCGGCCTACAACTGTGTTTCTTCCCGTCCTTCAGAAGTGATTGTGTGCTTTTCGCACGAACGTTAAGCTATCTGCTTCGCGGTACACTACGACTTCCGGGTTTGACTTTCAGTATAAGAGTCAGGTCAAAGTGAGTATTATATAATGTTTTTTTTATTTTTTAAAAGAGCTAGCATGATTTTGTGTTTTCACAACAGTAGTGTGGACAAAATATTGAAAGATAACATTATTCTTCTATTTGGATTTTTTTTTTTTTAAGAACAGGTCAATCTTATCCCAAACCATTTTCAGTTAGTTATTTTTCCTCTTTTTTTTGCAAACACACTAATCATGTTACAGGGTAGTTTTCTTATGAGGCGTGTAAAAGCAATAAGATAAACTGGAATGTAAATGATCAACAAAATCTAACATTTGATAGACAATATTTCTAAAGCATTGCTAGCCCCACAGAAAGCATAAACAAGTTAAATAAGGTTAAGTACATGCTAGTTTCACATAGTCATCAAAATACTGATTAAATTTTGATTGACATGCAATGTTTGAAAACTGACTAAAGAAATGGTAAAAGATTTTTAGAAAACTCTACTGACAGGCCCAAACAGGAGTGTAAAATGAGCAGCATGTTTTCTTTTCTCAAATGTGGCCATGGTCTTCACAACTAACCCCTGGGGTGAAAAATAAATAAATAAATACATTGAATGACAACTTTGACAATGTAATCAATGTATCATGCAGTTACAACTAATTTTTATGCTGCTATAGATGATTTAGACCTAGAATTTGATCAGAGAGCCATTGATTGGAGCTGACAGCAAACCACTTAAATCGAGCAGGAAGCCGATTTCACAAAATGTTATGATAAACCAGAAAAAGCCTTGCACAAATCAAAGTGTGCTACTTTACATATAGGGGATAAGTTAAAACTATTATCCAAAATAACTTCTTCATGAGGAAACATTATGCTTTATTATAGTTACTCCTTTGGAGGAATTGCTGGATCTATTTAAGTGCATTCAAATAACAGAATGAAACAGGAAGTGAAAATCGACGGAAAGTAGTAGTGTTAAATTTGCTATTAAAGTACTAACCAGCACAAGACTTCAAAACACCAAAGACAGGATGCAACATTATTTTGTGTTTAATAGAATTATTGGCTTTGATGACCAATTGTTCAGGCTTATGTTCAGAGGTTTTCTTGGGGTTGGCATTCTTTCACCCACATGAATATAACAGAAACAAGAATCAATTATGCTGGATCTGCCTGTCTGGAAACAAATATGCATTGATAATTGATTTTCTTATAATTTACAATTAGCAGAATTTTCACAAGATGTATGTAAAAAAGCAAAGGGAGTATATTACAACATATTGGGAGTTTTTAATAGAGAGATGAGACACAGAAGTTTGTGACACTTTCATGCCTGAGATGCTCTTCATACCTGAAATGCTCATCTAAGAGTGTACAGATAGCATGAAGATCATGTCAAAAGCTGTGCAGATGGTCAGCATAAGTATTGTGCACTGTCCCTTTTCACAGACCATATGCTTGAGTCAGTGGATTTTTTTTAACCAAATGAGCCGTGCAGATCATGCTCACTGACAAAGGTTGATGTGGTGGTTTTCTCCCCTAATCATGATTCCAAACAACCAAATTGTAGGCAGAAACTGCAAAAGTGGGGTCAAGAGAAACATGTTAAGAGTCAGAGCCCAAAGGAGAATGACAGACAATAATCATCCTAGCATCCGCTTGTTCATCCTGCTACCACCTGGTCAGAGACACCCATACACATATTTTTCGCATTACAGATGAAAAAGTTTATATTCCCAGGCTGTAACCTTACTGAATCATCCAATACTCACAAAAATAGCCTTTATGTGAATTATTTGGTTGATAACTCTTATATATGTTACTTTTGTGTTGAGTTACACAAAGGAAGAAAATCTTGCCTGGTTTAATTAGATGATTATTGTGTTTTTATTGGTTAGTTGGACAACTGACATATCCTCCAACCTCTTTCAATTGACCACCGTGGAGTTTTAATTGCGACAGAGAGTCGGAAAGAAAAATAGAATTGATAAATTAATACATTTCCCCGTACTGTGGGTCTTATTCTTACGCAAATATTCTTATCTTCTGAACCTACGTGCTTCATCTTTTCTCGAGAATTTAAGAAGCGCTTCATTTCCTCTACAGGACAGTCCGTCAGTGGGGCTTGCCTGGAAGTATCTCATAGCTCATAGAATCTCATAGCTCGAGACGAAAAAAAATAGAGATTCGAAACATACCCACACTTACCAGAGAAGGAGTTTCCCGATCTTAGCTCTCGTCGAAGTGATAGGCTTAAGTTGGTGACAGTCATTTTGTAAAGCGCAAGCAGAGCATAACATACCCGCCCAGTGTCCCGGGGATGAGGAGAGGACGGGTGTTTCGGTAGAACAGAACAGGGAAATGAAGTTGTCAGACAGGCTAGCCCAGCAACTCTCTCTGCTCTACTAGGCAACTCGCAAGTTCGGCGATAGTCTTGGCCGCTGAGAAGGTTACGTGAAGTAACACAGATATGACCGTCGTCAGTTAATATATGCCAGACAGCTACAGGTCTCACACAACATACGTACTTTTCTGAGTACGTTACACTGGATAAGGAAAGTGGAGACAACTTGCTACCCTGCTAACTAACCTCTGGCTACCGTGCGTCTTTCGGCTTCCGAACTAGACTTAATTTTTGGTGAGTATTAGTTGACGGAAGTATTCATTTCAGACATTTGCTTTTTTGTGTTTTCAACGGGCCTCCGCTTTGAACTGGGACCTGTCAGTAGTTCGCCAGTTTCGCCGCTGCTAACTAGGTCACGGGCTAACCCAACTTTGCTGATGGACATGCTGTAACGTTGACATTTCGACGTCATGTTCGCCCCTACCTACACAGCCGCTGGCTTTAAAGGCAGGCTATTGTCATTCGGCTGGGCAAACCAAATGTTAACTCAGTATATTGCAAACCAAACCGAAGTAGTGTTACATTTTTTTTTTTTTTTGCAAACGCACCGGGGGACAAACGTGATGTTAAAGGTTGGAAATTACAGCCAGCTTTCTCTGTTGTTCGAATATGTGCGATGGAAAAATGTTTAGCTAGAGTCCACAACTAACGTTGCTGGCTCGTGCCCCCGTGAAAAAACGGGGGCACGGAGGTCACAGATGTGTAAAAAAGCCGACCCCCCTCCCCTAGTTCGAGATCCTTAACCGTACTCTGCACTCGTCCCTCTAACTTTCACTTTGATTGTTGTGTGTGTAATATGCAAACACGCGAAAAGCAATTATCTCAATGTTTTTAAATAATCATTAGGATGATATTGTTATTGACGGTGATAATTATATTTTTATTTCCACAGTCTCTTTAGTAATCTCTCTCGTTTTTACTCTGTTTGATGGCATTTGTGCTTCCATGTTACATATTTTAAATGTATTCAATTTAAATTAAGTCATGCAATTCTTCTGAAATGTATATAAATGGTACACACTCCTTTTGCCCCGAGAGCTGGGGCCACTAGGCCCATTAAATAACCTTCCCATGATAGTAGCATTTCTGCAAGCTATTTCCTGGTACATAAAGGTGCAGGAAATTGAAGTGCTGTAAATCCACTTTTGTCATGTTTTGTGCAGTGATTTGGGCTTGGATTACCTGTCTTCAGCCATGCCTTTTCCTTTTGGTAAGTCTCAGAAGAGTCCAGCTGAAATAGTGAGATATTTAAAGGAGAATGTTGCATCCTTGGAAAAGTTGGATGCTGCTGACAGCAAGAAATGTGAAAGGGTGAGAAATCTTTCTAATTTTTCTCTTATGTAGTTTGTTTTTTCAAAGTCCCGTACAATTTCGAACTTTTTGTTTTTTGTTTTATTCAGCTAAATTTTAGTCTTGTGTTTATTTCTAAGGTGGCAGAGGAGGCCTCCAAACACCTCGCTTCTCTGAAGGAAGTGCTTTCTGGAACTGGTGACAAGGAACCTCAAACCGAAGCTGTGGCTCAGCTTGCTCAAGAACTATACAACACCAACCTTCTCATTGCACTCATAGCAAACCTGCAGAAGATTGACTTTGAGGTGTGGAAAGTGCGCTTGTTCTGTAACAGTACAAAAAAAGCATTGATTTCTTTGTACAGACATAAAACGATTCATAGGAGAGTGAATGCCAAATCTGATCATCTGTGCCTTCGGCAAAAATAGATTAATCTTGGCATATCAGTACCCTGTCAACCATTCCTCTTACTCAGTGGTTGTGTTTCTACAGGGCAAGAAGGATGTGGTCCATTTGTTCAGCAATATTGTGAGACGTCAGATTGGAACTCGCACACCCACAGTGGAATACATTTGTACACACCCAGAGATCCTCTTCATGCTTCTTAAAGGGTAAGTTAGTTTTTGCAGTCTACTGGAATGTATTAAGTGTTTAGTGTGAAGAAATCATTATTTATATACCTGGTTATACAATTGAGTATTTAATAAAATCTTACAGGCAAACCAATTTTTAAAATCCTCCATTTGAAGTTAGCTTTTTTACTGTATCTTTCTTCTTTATAAAAAAAAAAAAAAAACTTCCTCCAAGCATGCCGTATGTTTTTCTGCCTCACGCAGTATGCGTTCAAACAGCTCCCAGGAGAGCAAGCAGGAACTTGTCGCTTTCGAATGTTGATGGATAAAGCGATAGCAGAGTCAAGCTTTTACAGCTCTAAAAATCCCCCGGGCCGAGCTGCACACTCAGAGTGCAGCCATGGGCTATGGCTACCCAACACCGTGGTCTCTAATGGCTACTGCTTTTTGACCAAATGTTGTCCTTGCCAGTTATGACTTGATGGATTTCTTTTTTTATTTTAATCTCTTGTTATGTGTACCAAAACTACAAACAGGACTTTTAAGTCTGACAGGCAGAGGGGCAACATCAAAACTTGATACTTGATAATGGTGATTTAATGGGTAGTTCTTCTCCTAATAAATGTCTATGGAGCGTGAGGGAACTTGTCAATTGGCCCCAAAAAAATAAATAAATCTGCCCACAGTAGAGGACCTTAAAATGTCATCTTCATAATTAAAAATTAAATTAAGTGTTAAATGCTTGGAACTATAGATTAGTTTTCATTTTTTATTCGGTGTGCTATATGTATATTTTTCTCTTTTTATTAAGTTCAACAGTGGATGTGTGATGAATTCTGTTCATTGGTGAAATTCAATTGAACCTGTCTGACATGACCTGACCTGTACAGATATGAGAGTGCTGAAGTGGCTTTAAACTGCGGCATGATGCTGCGGGAATGTCTGCGCCATGAGCCTTTGGCAAGGACGGTGCTCTTCTCTGAAGATTTCTTCTGCTTCTTCCGTTATGTGGAGCTCTCTACCTTTGACATCGCCTCAGATGCCTTTGCATCATTCAAGGTACCAAGTTTTCTTGGCGCACTTACACAGACTAATTTTTTACATTGAATTACAATTAAACAATTGGTAGACGTAAAAACACCAAATGCTGTCAAACACAATGTGATGAAATCTGGCAAGCCAACGTTAGCCAATGATCACATATTAAGTCAAATATAAAATAGTATCAGAAAATGATATGTGAAGAGTTTGACCCTTTACTTGAATAAGAAACACGTTGTACCGTGCTTTGTAGAACCTTGATTAGGTTAAAAGGTTGTATTTAAGAATGGAGAGATTATCATTTTCCCCTTCCTGTTTTGGAAATGGTCCAACTCGGCTTATATTGAAGGGGAAATTAATTAATTAAGATTGGATTGGAGAAAACAGAAGCATAGTCTGTTGTGCTGAAAACAAAGCTTTATTGAAAAAACGGCCATGCATGAAAATTGTGTGAATAACATGCTGTGACCATCACTAAACGTCAGGCGAGTGGACTTTTTTAGAAATGTGCAGCAGAAAAGTGCGAGCACTCATTTTGGTCTTTGTATGCAGCAAATGTCCAAAATAGTTCAGAAATTTACAGAGTAAGTAAAAACATGAAAGTAGAACGTTTTTTCTTCTTCCGGTGAAGTAAATCATTTGAAAGGAGGCAGACTTTAAGCATGTGTTTTCCACAATATGGAACACTGAAACTGCCATAATCTTCAATGAATAAAAAAAAATCACAAACCAAAAATAGATACATTTATGTGATGGATAAATACAACAATGACTCAATTTAAAATACATTTCCAGAAGAAATTGTGAAATAAAACTTTTTGCCCTAATTTTTAACATTCCTGTAAACTTTGGTTAATTAATTTTATACTTTGCTCTCACTCTTCAGTTCGACTTATTTAATCTGAAACTGTCATAATTTCATTTTTATTGGGATATCAGGAAAATTGAAATTGTGCTAGGTCATTATAATGTAAATTAAAATGTCACAAGAATGAAGAAAGGACCCATACATTAAAGAAAGATCTACCAGTTACATAGATAAATTAAATTAGAATCTGAGAAGCAAAGTAAATTAATATAATGCAGTTTCAATTATAATACTGTATATATATATATATATATATATATACACACACTAAAACTGTATATAATCACGGCAGTAAACATGTTTCGCTTTCTGCCCACTCATTTTTGGAAATGTTTTTCAAATAAAAATGTTGTGTTTTATCATCATATAAATGTTGGTATTCACTTTGTATTGTGGCAGCTTTTCTACATCCAGGTATATTTACCATATAATTACCAGTATTGGTGATCTGACATCTTTTTCTACTTCTTTTGTGGGCTTTTCCTCCACCAAATATGGGTAAAACTCAGTAAGGCCCCTAAGAAGGACCTTCGGTTGGCCCTTTGTGGTCAATATTTCATAACTTTGAGATAAAAGCAGGGACCATCCCAGGTTGTGCTTGATCTGGGTGCATCTGCTGCTTACCCAGACTGAGGGTATTGTCTTTCGGTGGGGGGAGCACTTTGAGAGTCTTCTGTCTGGCTAGCATACTCTGAGGACTTATGTATCACCTGGCAGAAGTCGACAGGGTAGTTAAAGATTTGTGGTAGTGAAGTGCTAGATTGGCAGCAGTGTTGCTGTCTTGGCTGACACGCCTCATGGATCCTCCCTGGTCAGGACCAGGCCTTTACCTTTGCGGTTACCGAGGGGATCATGGGAGTTTGACCATCCAGTCTATATCTGTTTTATAGAACTGGTAAATGCACACGGCCATATTCACAGATGGATTCAGTTGAGGATGTTTGGGATATAGGGGGTACTGGAAATGCTGTGGTAATCTCTTTTTAAGGAGGATGTATGCATCGTTGTACCTGTTCTCCATGGCTGCTTTTTATGAGTTATTGTAATTGTTTATCTAATGGAGAGGATCCTAAGATGTAGTCATGGAGAGGAGTGTATCTAATTTGGGACCTTTTACCCAAGATCTTTAGCACGCACTGAAGGGATTTTCAGATGAGTTGGACGCAGCTGAGGGAAAGAGAGCCCATCCAAATCTGAGGTCATGTTTCTCATCTTGCAAAAGTTGGAATGTCCTTTTTTTTTGGAGGCAGGGCAGAGTTCCTTGCTTCATCAGCAGTAATGAGGGTGCTTCTCCACTCAGTTGGGGTGGAGAGTTAGCTAAGCCAAAAGATATTTTCAGTTTACTGGTTCACATTTGTTCTTATCCTCATTACATCTGGAGGATGGCGGAGTCACAGAGACAGACGCTTGAAATGGATTTCTGTCAGAGGACGGCTGGGTTCCAGCTTTAGTTAAAGAAAGCAGCTCTTTCATTCAGAGAGAACTCAGATTAAAGCTGCTACTCCTCTGCATTGGAACGATTCAATTGGGGTACTTAACATTTAATTTTTGTCTGTCTCGTCTGTTCTCTTCCAGGATCTTCTCACAAGACACAAAATCATATGTGCTGATTTTCTGGAGAACAATTATGACAGAATGAGTTTGTTTTTTATGTAGATTAGGATTTTTAATGGAAAGAGTGCTCATTCTTTGCTTCAAACGCTTTTCTAATGTGTGGTAGGTGTCCACAGAGTATGAAAAGCTTCTCCACTCCGAGAACTACGTCACCAAACGACAGTCTTTGAAGGTACTCACACCTGCACAGTCAAATCCAGATCACGGGATTCTGACTTTTATGTAATTACTCAAGTTGTGCCTTAGATTACTGCCTTTGTCGCTTTTGCTTTGACCTAGTAATTTACCATCTTTTTCAGCTCCTTGGAGAACTTCTCTTAGATAGACACAACTTCACCATCATGACAAAGTACATCAGCCGTGCAGAGAACTTGAAGCTGATGATGAACATGCTTAGAGACAACAGCCGGAACATCCAATT